TCCCCTGACCCAACAAACAAACGAACGATACTCTATTAGTCTGCTTTGTCCTTTAGAAAGAACATCTGGAGCTCATCTTCAACGGCGCTTATACCTCAGGAAAAGTATACTAGTACAGCTTGTTTCAAGGAGACGAACTGTTCTAAAATCGTCATTGTCAGCACTACATTACTAAGCTATGCCATTAATTACTACAATTACTATTTTGGATTAATGACGGCTACCCTGTAGAGTATTACACTAAATTATAATATAATATAAAAATGATTATATTTAATTTTCATATGTTCAAACCGTTAAAGACAATTAGAACACCTCATACAAAAAACAGATCGAAAGAAAAAAAAAGAAACTAAAAATTTCCAGACGGAATAAACAATTATTTTAATAGCTTAGATTTATAATGAATGAAATAAATGATAATTGGCATTCTTTTCACAAATAATTATTCTAAGAGATTGTTAGTTGAATTTATTATGTAGGAATGAAATTTTAAAAAGAAGATAAAAAATCATGCATGTTGTACTATTGTATTTTTTCAATAAAAACTTTTAAATTCCGATAGTTTTTCGATTGTTAGCATTTAAACATCGCCAGATTTAAATACAAGTTAAAGAATTCCGGTAAAGTAAATTAAACAGATGTGCAATTATTAATTGGGAAATGTTAAATTAATTTTCTTTTAACTTCATATTTTAATTTTATGCTAATTGCATAGAGCGTAATCGAAAATTGTTCCATTTCAAAATACACTTCCGGAATTAAAAAAATTAAATGTTTATTTTCAATTAATTTATACATTTTAATTATTGTTTCTCTATTGTCATCGGGTATTTCAGCTTGGTGTATTAAACACGCTATACTGTTTCTGTTTATCCATTCAAAATGACAACATTCACACCTGTGTATGCTTGAATTCACACCTGTGTACGCCTGATGCTAAATTGCTGCAAGGTAAAGTTCAAACAAATTCTCCTCAAATCGATAAATAAACAATGACTTTACAAAATAATATACACACTCTGTTCACAAATATTTTGCCTTGAAATGGTTACCAAAGTTATAACGGAAAATAAAACGTAAAATATTTTCAGTTCAATATCAGTCAAAGTGTTCAACAGATATTTTATGAAAAAATCTCAACAATAATTTATGAAATTAATTCGAAAATATTTATATTTAGATAACTTCATATAGGAAGTTTTATTCAATCAATACAAAACGGTACACACATATTCATTTTCTTTCATTCTTATATTGTGGTTATTAACTACGACCAACGGTCATCTGTGCGCTTTTAATTACGTAAAATTCTGATAAGCAATTAAGACTTTAACATATTTTATTTTTTCCCATGATTCAACAAATCGGGTTAAAACGTCACAACCCAGTGACGTAGGTCAACCAAAAAAGTAACAAATACTTGATTTTCTCCGTTATTAGAAAGAATATAAATTTAAAACTTTGTGAATGTGTTTTTTATGTTAAGATGAACATATTTAGATGATAAGTAAAAAATTGCGGACTTTCCCTTTAAAGGGCAATAACTCTTTAAGGGGTCAATTGACAATTTTGGTCATATAAAACTTATTTGTAGATCTTACTTTGCTGAACATATTTGCTGTTTACAGTTTATCTTTATCATTAATAGTATTCAAGATAATAACCAAAAACTGCAAAATTTCCTTAAAATTACCAATTCAGTGGCAGCAACCCAACAATGGGTTATTAGATTCATCTGAAAATTTCAGGGCTGATAGAACTTTACCTTATGAACACTTTAACCCCCATGTCAGATTTGCTGTAACTGCTTTGGTTTTTGAGATATAAGCCAATAAAATGCTCCACTGGGGCGCAGCTTGATACGACCACAGAGGTCGAACCCTGAACAGTTGGGGCAAGTATGGACACAACATTCAAGCTTGATACAGCACTGAATTTGGATTGTAATTAAATATTTGACACAGCATAGGTTTCTAACACAGAATGAATGTGGTCTAAGAACTTAAAATTTTTTAATTTACCTATTCAAACCATATCATTATTATTTGCTTTTATATATAAATCAGAAGTAACCAATTTAAAATGGAAAATTTAAAGAAAAAAAAAATCCCCCCCCCCCCCTCAAATTTTTTGAACCCCTTATGATTCATCACCCCCCAAACTCAATCGCAGCCTTCCCTTTGTGGTATGGTACCTTGCATGTTAATTTCAGAGAGATCCATACACTTGAACACAAGTTATTGTCTGGAAACTAGAAAAATGCTTTGTTTTTGGCCCCTTTTTGGCCCCCAAATTCCTAAATGTTTAGGGCAATTACCCCAAAACTCAAACCCAGCTTTCCCTTTGTGATATAGAACCTTGCAGTGCAATTTCATAAAGATCCATACACTTACACACAAGTTATTGTCCTGAAACTAGAAAAATGCTTGTTTTTTAGCCCCTTTATGGCCCCTTATTCCTAAAATTTTCAGGGAATCACCCCCAAAATCAATCCAAGCCTTCCCTTTGTGGTATGTTACCTTGCAGAAAAATTTCAGAGAGATCCATACACGTGAACACAAGTTATTGTCTGGAAACTAATAAAATGCTTATTTTTGGCCTCTTTTTGGCCCCTTATTCCTAAAAGTTTTGGGCAATTACCCCCAAACTCAATTCCAGCTTTCCCTTTGTGATATGGAACCTTGTAGTACAATTTCATAAAGATCCGTACACTTACACACAAGTTATTGTCATGTCCTTAACTGTTGGTACCATAACCCCCAAAATCAATCCCCACCTTCCTTTTGTGGTATTGAACCTTATGGTAACATTTCATAGAGATCCATTTACTTAAACTAAAGTTAGAGTGCGAAAACCAATGTGTCTTCAGACGATGACGACGCCAACGTCACACCAATATATGACCACAAAATTTTTTTGCGGTCGTATAAAAACTGCATTTTACTCCTATGTTCTATTTTTAGCCATGGCGGCCATGTTTTTTGACGAAACAGAAAATAAAACACAAAATTTATTCTAGATACCCTAAGGATTATTCAGCTTAAGTTTGGTTGGAATTGGTTCAATAGTTTCAGAGAAGAAGATGTTTGAAATAGTTTACACCAGACGGACGACGATGACAACGGACAATGACGGACGCCATGTGATGGCTAAAGCTCATCGTTCCTTAGGAACGGTGAGCTAAAAATATATGTTAATCAATGTTTTTACCAGTATAAGAATCAGTTTTTGTGGATCGAATCAGTTAATCAAATGGTTTATCCTTGTTTCACTTTCGATGTTGACATTCTTTTCCTTTTGATAACTGAACACACCTAGTTCATGCTAAACCCATCTCTATCTAAGGGGTTAAATTGAAGGTCACATGAATACGGAGTCAATGAGGTCAAATTATTCACTTGCAATTGAATAATTCATCAGCAATGTTTGTTAACTTTTTTTGACAAAATTGAACCAAACTGGCTTCTAAAATTGAATTAGTATTTCACTATTTCACTTTCACATTAATGATCGAACACAAAAAATCAGATTTTTTTTATAAATATATTTCGTAGCTAACGCCCCTTTACCAAGAACTATATTTACCTGTCAAATAAAACAAATTCAGTTTAATAATTCTTTATGATAAAATTATAGAAAATTTCGTAATATTTTATTATAAGATTAAAGAAAAATTTACAGTGTTATTTGTATTCACACTGACAAATATTTTAATACCTAAAAACAAAACAAAAACATTCAAAATCTTTTTTTTCTAAAAAAGCTTAGAAACCAAATTTTGAATGTATCACAAGAGCTAATCGAAATTTCTTAAACATATTGCTATGTGCAAAAACAATACACATCAAAGCTATATAATATCCACAGTGTTCAGACTAGTGTAACTGTTAAAACACAAATCACCTACATGTAAAATTGAGAATGGAAATGGGGAATATGTCATAGAGACAACAACCCGGCCAAAGAGCAGATAACAGCCTGTAACCCCGCTGATTTTTCTTTTATTACTAGAACCATGTAAACAAACTTATTAAACAATACTTTTGTGTGCCTAGCCTGCATAGCAAGCTGTAAAAGTTCAAACATGATGAAGTAAAACAATTCGAACCAGAAAACCAACAGCCAGATTAATGTAAAAAACAATAAACGAAATACAAATATGATATACAGCAACAAATGACAACCAATACAGAATGTGGGAAGGTTAAAAGTGTTTGTGGGCGCCCAAACATCTCCCCCTACCTGGGACTGAGGTGTAACAGCACAACATAAGAACAAACTACAAAAATCAGTTGATATGAAGTTTTTTTAAAGAATGCATGTCTTATCTTAAGGAAAAACTTGTGTTAAAAGGCAACAAATGCCAGTATTTATAGGAATGACTCAACAGATATTTAGGTATTTATGTAGGAAGAATTCAGATTCATGCTTCTATCTTCTCTAACAAAATGCAGAAATAATACTTATGTGTCCCAGATATATTCGAAAATCCAGCAAAAATGATTTATTTGAGACAAGTAAAGGATCCCAAATCTATTTGAAAACATGCAGATTGAAAAACTTGAGAGCTCTAGCCTTATTTGAAAAAGTTTTAGTGTATTTGAAAGACATACAATGAACATTTCTAATCCACATAGCAGGTACCTTACTTTAATTACTGGAGGATAGGCAATAGGATGGACAAATGCAAGCACATACTTTTAACTGGTATTTGCTGCTTTTCCAAGTACGGGTAGATATATACAGGAATGAAAAATAGAAGTTTCAAAAATAGATTGAGAATTTCAGCAGGATCAAATAATTTATACTTCATTTCTTCTTCTTTCATGCTTAAGACTTTAATAGTTTGACTAAATAGTTATATGGAACCTGCAGACAACCATTAAGATTATAAGATCTTTATAGGTTAATGTTTTTATACCATACAAACAAAACCTGAATGCATTTTAATTATTTATTTTTCATCATAGCAGCAATCTCCAACACTATGTACTTACTTTAGTTGAAATACTTGTCTGAAGTGTAAAATATATATTTTTAATGTACAGCAACATAATGTTCCATGTAGAACATTTACCTTGCAATATTTTGAGTTTTACTGTGTGAAATATTGGTCCAGGACTATTTTTTAACAACATTCAAAAATGGTGTATATATCATTTCATAAGATGTTACAATACAATGTTAGGGTTATAGCATAAATATTGGTGAATATTGTCTCTGGTGGATTGCACTCACAAACTCCTGCAACATCAAATTGTACCTAGAACAATATTCAACAATATAAGTGCCTTAAGGATGTTCGCTACTCTGTTTCAAAATATTAAGCTTTTTTAAAAAACTGTTATAAATTGATAGTATATAAATAAAGGAACTAAAAAAGCAGAAAAAAATTAAGGGTCTGTAAACTTGTTTTCGAGATATAAGCCATTGAAAATTTGGCGGGCAATAATTCTCTCTTGAATTTTCATACATTTAACATTGGCACCCTCTTTCTTTAAAAAATTATGAAAAAATAACAAGGATTTTATAGCATTTTCAAATATGACTATTTAAACTATAAGTAATAAGATTATGAAAAGAAAATAGGGATTAGCGGGCAAAATTTTTATTGGCACTAACATGGATAAAACTAGAGGATTCCGAATATCTGACAAAAAGTCAAAAACAAGAGTAGCGAACATCCTTAACCCAATCATATAAAATTACTTAAAGAATAACTAATCCAAGAATTCAAAATATAGAAAAATATTCAACGAGTGACCGAACAACACATTAATTCATGAATGCACATAGCGCATAAGTGAATTATCAGCATTGTTCGGTAACGATTGTTTTTGATATTTATATTCTTGGATTAGTTATTCTAATTATTGACCACAGACTTTTTAATGGAAATAAAGTAGAAAATGAAGTGAACTTTATCTTTTTCTACCCATTTTCAATTGTCTTGATGCAACGTCATGGACAAGGTCTTGACAACGACATCAGAGGAGTGAAATCATCAGATTTATTTAACATGAGAATTATAGGTTTTTATTTCACTGGGAAATCACAGTAATTCATTGCAACCAATGTAATAGTTAAAATTATCTTCAATGCTTATCTTTGTAAGAATCAGAGAATTAAGATTTTTCCCATTATGGTTGAAAAGTGGAAAGAAAAAACATCATACCAAACTTAAGTATGCAAATTTGTAATGAGTTTTCAAAAGACAGGCATATTCTTTTATCTGTCAAGAAGTAACTAATGATAACTTTTAATCAAAGACATAAAGGCTGTTAAAGCAATTGCTGCCTAGTTAATGTTTTGTGACTTTTACTTTTCATCCACCTGTAAAAGAATTAAACAGGAGTCTTGTCTAGTGAGAAGTAAGGATGTTTTAACTTTATATCAATAAAAGACTTATTAAGCAGAAAGTCATTTTTACAATTTTTACATTTCCCAGGGGGATGACACTGTCGTTTACCCAGCTTAAGGTGGAGGCAAATATATGTGCGGAAACGTAATACTCCTGAAGAAATCATAATAGATTATCCCCTTGTAGAGTGTTTATTACTGGGCAATAATTTACATGACAATCCATGCACCTGTCTTATTATCTTTAATGCTTTAATTTCAATTTTCATTATATTATAATTGGTTTAGATTTAACCATTCAGTTGATAATTTCAACTTTCGTGACGCGAGTGTTCTACCAAACTATAGGTTTTTTATAAAAAGAATCATTCATTCATACATACATATTCATGAAAGATTTTGAAGATGGGAGCGGCTTTTGAAATTTTCATGAAATGCGCATTAACTGTCGATTAACATGGGAACTGTCTTAAATAATTATGTAGAAATAAATATATATTTCAGCTTACTGGCAATATTTTTGGTATGCTACTTTGTCATCATTTCTTAAATCTTAGTCCCAAACATTATTGCTCAGCTGTTTTAAACATACAATATCTTTATGTGCCATTGTCATATAATTTCAAAAAAGGCCTGGTATCACAGACAGACATATGAAATTAAATTGTCATTTCACGAACAAGGAAAAACAGCTCCACATAGCTTTTTGTCTTACAGGAAACATGGTGAATATAAATGATCTTCAAGCACGAAAACATGTGAAATAAAATAACAAACACGTCGTACGAAAATAAGACTACCATCCGTGTCAAAAACTATGTAGGCTCATAAACTGGAAAGACGAGGATATCGGTTTCATCATTTGTCATGCATTCCTGTTTTTGACATCCAAATGGACGAACTTTTTTTTCAATCTATGAAAAAGAAAATTCCCAAAATCCAAATTGTTTGTGAATATCTCTTATTCTTAACTTGGCGTCTTTCATGTCTGGACGGGTCCATCTGAGATGAAATGGACCCATCTATCAGTATGAAACATCTATAAGTTGATAAATCTTAAGGAATTATGACAAAAAAAGAAAACGAACTTATTGTAATGTCTTTCTAAGTTCTAACACAGGTTTCGTTCCACAAAAATTATTTGCGCAAATAACATTTCAAGGTCAGTTATCAGGTTATGATTGTCTATTATTAGATATATATATATTGTTTTATTAAAGTGCACCCTGATATAACATGTTAATACAAATATGAAACATATTTTGTAATGTCGGCCAGCCTTCATAGGCTTATGATTCACTGTACTTCTAAAGTTCTTATTAGATACGAAATCCTAGAGAATTACAGGTAATTATTTTCATGCCAAGAGGGTCATAATGACATTTGGCACTGTCATATCATTTGTTTACAGAGTAGAGTCTATCAGTGTCAACTGCAATTTAGGAAACCCTTAATAAATAACAGGGCCCGTAATTTCAAGGAAGTATTCAAAACATGGTAAGTGTAATCAGAATGCGTAAACTGTGCTACTTTTAATTTAAAACAAATAATGCAAGATAAAAGAGGGACGAAAGATACCAGAGGGACAGTCAAACTCATAGATAAGATAAGATTACATTACTATAACGTGCGTAGTGATTTTACGATAATTTTATAAACTGTTAACAGAGATATATCTCGCCTATTTGTTATTTTGATAATGCAAATGTTGAAATTAAAATAGCAATACTTTAACATGTAAGTTATGCAAATATTCAAAGTCAATGAACCATGACTGAAGGTACAGGGCTAAACAATCTCCATGGAAATGAGATGTGCCAATGCTAATACAACTGCAAACCAAATACCATTGACTCTTCATAAGTCGTTCCCTTTAAACAAACCTAAACACAAACATTAACTTGTAAACTTTGTAAAAGTTTCAAAGTCAATGAACCATAATTAGGGGTTGGGGTTATATAATCTCCATGGAAATGAAACTGGCAAATGCCAATACATTTGTATATCGAATATCATTGACTTAACATTAGTGGTTCATCTTAAACTGAACTAATCACAAACTAATACATGTAAACTAAGCAAAAGTTTCAAAGTCAATAGACCATGACTGAGGGGTAGGGACCAAATATTCTCTATGGAAATAAGATGTGCTAATGCTTATACAACTGAATGCCAATTATCATTGACCTACCACTAACGGTTCCCCTTAAACTGACCTAATCACAAACTAATACATGAAAACTAAGCAAAAGTTTCAAAGTCAATAGACCATGAATGAGGGGGCAGGGCCAAATAATCTCATTGAAATGAGATATGCCAATGCTTATACAACTGCATACCAAATATCATTGACCTACCACTAGTGGTTCCCCATAAACTGACCTAATCACAAACTAATACATGTAAACTAAGCAAAGTTTCAAAGTCAATTGACCTTGACTGAGGGGGCGGGGCCAAATAATCTCCATGGTAATGAGATGTGCCAATGCTAATAAAACTGCATACCAAATATCATTGACCTACCACTAGTGGTTCACCATGAACTAGACCTAATCACAAACTAATACATTGTTGACGCCGTTGCCAACGCCGGAAACAGCATACCTATGTCTCGCTTTTTGACTCCGTAAAGATGAGACAATAAATGAACAAGAGCAACTACTTTCAAAAAGAAAAACGAATTAAAAAACATAAAACCGTATAAGACATTATTCAGTCAAATTTTATATATTTAATCAACAACTGACATGATTCGATATTTTAATATTTTTCAACAGTTTCAATTAATGTATTTCATTGGAAAGCATACATAGAATTTTTAAAATGACAGACCAGGTGTCTTCTCAAAATACTTTGGCTTGATCTGGGTCACAAAGATGGCTATATGCCATAGCATGAAAGCAATTGCTTTAAAAAATCTGTATAAATACCTTGTCTTCTGTTGATATATCTACACCAGGACAAATATTGATCAGTTCTGATGGCAAGATACTCTGAAAAAAGAAACAATGATATCAAGGGAGTCCTAATTTAGATCATTAATAATGAAGAAGACAACTGGTGCAAAAACTGTAAACCATCTACTTAGAAATTACTGAGTGCATTTATTATTGCATTTTTTAAGAGTAGACAAAAAAGTGAAATAAATTATTGCTATTTCAGGAAAATCGTCATACAGATATATGTATCAGATATCAGAATGTGAGTTCTTTTATTATGATATTAGCATTAATAAAAACCTCACAATAATTTTTAAATTTACAGTATCCCCTTATTTGAACTCTGGTTGATTATAAATGACTCATTGTCAATCATACCACATCTCCTTATTTCTATATTATTTCTGTTGATACTTTTCTTTTCATGTTATCCCATCAGGAGTGGATCCAGGATTTTTGAAAAGGGGAGCATAATTCCACATAATGGAATATAAACTGCTGACGGACAATTTTATACTAAAAGTTTATATATATCGTAAAAACATGAAACTTTTAATTTTTTTGGCAATCAAAGGGAAGCCTACACTGTCCATGATTACTGTATTCATCAAAAGAAGAATTAAATAAAACATGTGAATGAGACAGCAACCAAACAACCCAAAATACAGAAAAACATCATGAGGTCAACATACAGTCTTCAATAAAATATATGGTGGTCATATTAAATGAAAACTTATCAATAACAGAAGTTGTCAGTACTTTACAAGGATATCTGTTTGCAACTTATTCAGGGTTATAAACAAGAAAATTCTATTTTCTAAATATGAAAATAAGTCTTTATGTTGGCAATCTTTTTTCAATATTAAATTTCAAATCAATGCACCAAATACATCGCAGCTACCCACTCAAACTTGAATAAGAGTGACCAATAAAGCAAAAATGTTTCAGCTGAAAAAATATATCACAGTTACTGAACTTTTCATTAATAAAGGTGAAATAATATGAAATAATACACTTCACCTGTCATTGTAAGATTAGTATTTGATAAAATAGAAATTTTAAAAAAGGTATTAAATGTAAGGAGTGATTACTTGCCCAATTATTTCATGATGATATAACAAAACATAATAATTACCCTTAACATCTAAAAAGCTTTGTTCACAGCAGAGATAGAATTTAGTGTAATGACACATTCTGTGATGTCATTATTAACAAGGACAAGAGAACAGGATTGTGAAAAAGATAATGGAAACATATCACCAGCCATCTGTAACACAGATATTCTAAGATATGGTAATATATCAAGAACCGATTCTGTTAACATTTTGGATATAGTTTCTAAAACTGTTCGTAAAAACTGTTCTCATGGTCGTAGAAAAAATCGCAATCAAAGAAAATTTCGGACCAATCATACCAATATTTCGGACCTAATTTCTATTTCAAAAAACAACGGCAGACATTATCTGTTAACAAAGCTCTGTTCATTACCGGTTAATAAGTTAAATAAAATTTTAGAGGATTGCAACACAATTTCATATAGCAGTCCTAAGTATGAAATCGTTCAAATTATAATGGCATATTGTTATTCTAAACTGTTTCCCAAAATTGATCGCCCTGAAGATCATAAAAAACAGTTTATTAAATTTAAGTATGTCAATAAAGGTTTTGATTTTGTAAATATTGCCGGTATTTTTAACGACCATTCAGTTAAAGAACAAATTCCGGGATATTTTGATAATACTGAGCTCCCTCTTATTTGTTATATTTACAAGAAATCTTCCCCGGAAATTTGTGTTTAATTATAGCCAATTGTGTAAAGATGTTAATATCAGTGAAATTACACCTACTTCATGTAATTGCAGTAATTCCGAATACATTTATGGACCCATTTCCCATGTTATAACAGGAGATCTTAACATCATCGTTCAAGACCGAGAGTTAAAATCATTCCTCAGTAAAGGACCTAAATATCGTCCCCCGTCAATTATTAATTGGAATGAGTGTCGTAATATCATCCACGACTCACTCCATACTTACTGTTTGAAATGGATAAAACGGGAAAAAGCTGACAAAAAATCTTTGGACTCTTTTTTTAATTCAGTAATGAACATAGTTGATATACGTATTCAACATTTTAAAGAACATTTTACTCTTAACAATAACCACAATAAACCTATTTCTCGTATCAAACATAAACTAAAAGAACTAGCCAAGGAATTTGTTTTTGTCCCGGCCGATAAAGCTGCTAATAATATTATTATTGTTTGACGTAAATTTTACATTGAGGTTCTGAAAAAAGAAATCACCAATTCACCAACATTCCAACTGACTCCATTTTCAGAAAACGACATCTGTAACAAACATAAACTTTTAGCTACCGCTTTACAAGCAGAACCAAATACAATGAAAGTCCCAACTATGTATTGGCTTCCGAAGCTACACAAAACACCTTACAAATATAGATTCATTTCGTCTTCAAGCCATTGTTCCACTACTAAATTGTCTATTCTTCTTACCAGTACACTTGGTACAATCAAAAACCTGATAATAAATTGTTCAAATAAGGCCTTCGAAAAATTGTGGAATTAATTACTTTTGGAGTGTCAAGAACTCGTTGGAAGTACTTGATAAATTACATGCATATATTGGCGATTTTGAATCTGTTCAAAGTTTTGATTTTTCTACCCTATATACCACATTGCCTCACATTCTCATTAAGAAAAAATTCACACACCTAATTAAATGGGCATTTAAAAAGTCAGAATGTGAATATATATGTTCAAACTCTTTTAGGTCATTTTTTAGTAGCAATAAACAAAAAAACTATGTCAATTGGACATGCTTTGATACTATATATGCCCTTGAATTTTTACTAGATAACATTTTTGTTCGCTTTGGAGATTCCATATATCGTCAGGTTATCGGAATTCCAATGGGGACTAACTGTGCACCACTTATTGCGGACCTTTTTTTGTATTGCTATGAGTTACAATTTATGACAAAAATCAACAAAGACCCATCGAAACAACATCTGATACACAAATTTAATAATACTTTTAGATATTTGGATGATATTTTGGCTCTCAATAATGACGACTTCAGTATGTATACTAAAGAAATTTATCCTGTTGAACTTACTTTAAATAAAGCTAATACTAACAATTAAAGCTAATACTAACAATGACCACTGCCCTTTCCTCGATCTTGATATCTATATCATTAATGGAAAGCTTAATACTAAAATATATGATAAAAGAGATGATTTTTCATTTCCTATCGTTAATTATCCATTTTTAGATGGTGACGTTCCCTTGTCACCATCTTACGGTGTTTATATATCTCAACTTGTACGATTCGCTCGTGTATGTAACAATGTTTTAGATTTTAACGAGAGAAATTTATGTATTACTGAAAAATTATTACACCAGAGTTTTCGATATCACAAACTAGTCAAAACATTTACTAAATTTTATCATCGGTATAAGGACATCATTCGTAAATATAGCTCAACATGCAGACTTCTTATACGTTCAGGTATTTCACATCCAATTTTTTATGGAAATATTCTTTATAAAGCACAAAAATGTCAGTATTCACCTCTGAAGCTAACAAAACCTTTAAATAGACTTATAAAGAAGGGATATAGTTACGATACTGTTGTCAGGTCATTAAAGATTGCATATTTTGGCGTTAATATTGATTCACTTATAGGGTCTTTGCATCGGCACTAAACACATTTATTTAAAAACCAGTTGTTGGCATGACACGGGTTATGTTCTTCTCATATATGTTATGATGGTATGATACTAAACCCCTAACGGGAAGGATTGTGCCTGATATTCATATGATGAAGACATAATCTTTCAATCAGTTTAATTGAAGTCTGGAGCTGGCATGTCAGTTAACTGCTAGTAGTCTGTTGTTATTTATGTATTATTGTCATTTTGTTTATTTTCTTTGGTTACATCTTCTGACATCAGACTCGGACTTCTCTTGAACTGAATTTTAATGTGCGTATTGTTATGCGTTTACTTTTCTACATTGGCTAGAGGTATAGGGGGAGGGTTGAGATCTCATAAACATGTTTAACCCCGCCGCATTTTTGCGCCTGTCCCAAGTCAGGAGCCTCCAGCCTTTGTTAGTCTTGTATTATTTTTAATTTTAGTTTCTTGTGTACAATTTGGAGTTTAGTATGGCGTTCATTATCACTGAACTAGTATATATATTTGTTTAGGGGCCAGCTGAAGGACGCCTCCGGGTGCGGGAATTTCTCGCTGCATTGAAGACCTGTTAGTGACCTTCTGCTGTTGTCTGTTCTATGGTCGGGTTGTTGTCTCTTTGACACATTCCCCATTTCCATTCTCAATTTTAAGGTTTGTGCCAATGACAAATGAACAATATTTGTGACAGCTCTAACACTGATTTTCCTAGGATTGTGGCAACAACAAGGGGAATATACCTGTAGCTATCTCTAACACTGATATCCAACTACAATAAACAAAATTATAATCTGTCAACTGATTTCTAATTATGTTTCTTTAAACAAGCTAAAAGGGACACTCTCTGGATTAAACAAATTCTGATTTGTTTCTCTCAGATGAATCAACTCCCATTGGTTCTGTTGCCAGGAACTTAACTATGTCAACTCACCCCCCTTTTTTGCCAATGTCTTGGGCTAGTTCCCTCTTTGTCAATGTCTAGGTTATACCTTGTTCTGACTGGAAGTACAAATAACAATACTGACTTACAGGTTGTAATAGAAGTCCCATATAGATCATCTCTAGATAAGCATACAAGTGGTTTATATCAACTTCAGATGATGATATCAAATAGTGATGTAGTGGCAGTCCAGCATGGTCAACCATGTGTAATAACTCCATTTCTATACAAAGAAAAATTAACAATTATTCAGAGTGCCTTTACTAAAGAGAATTCCAGCATGGTCAACTATGTGTAATAGCTCCATTTCTATACAAAGAAAAAATAACAATTATTCAGAGTGCCTTTACTAAAGAAAATTCCAGCATGGTCAACTATGTGTAATAGCTCCATTTACATACAAAGTAAAAATAACAATTATTCAGAGTGTTGAAGTTACTTTCAGAAGCAAATTACTTTATTGCTGATTAATTGCAATGCTCAGGTATTTGTCAATAACAATGAAAGGTGTGATGCCAAATACAATATTTGTAAAATGTGAAACAGCTGATTCATAAATTTCTTGGGTTCCTGTGAAGCAATGCCAATGGATCGCATGCTTTTTCGGTAGATTGTTGACCAAAGTTAAAGTTACAAGATTGAGGTTGTTGTTTCCTCTATTCTGTTGGAGATATTTTTTACAGCGAGATACAGTTGTTTTTCAAACCACAGCAATATCTTCTTCATAAGGCAAATGTAAGGTGGTCATACAAATAAGCTATGGATATATATTGATCCAATACCTCACTGACTACAAACAACTTCAGACACAGTTACATCTTAGCATAGGAGAAAACCTATCAAGCCTACATCAATTTAAATGCATTATAGATCATATTCTAAAATGTCTTATGAGAAATGATAAATATTGTCAAATCTAATAGTTAAATTGCTACACTCGCTTAAATTATTTATACATTGTACTTGCAAACTAAAAATTTCAAAGTAAATCCAAAAGTTCAAAGGAAATTTAGAGGTCCTTAAATGGGCCAGAGGTTCACTTGACAATAAGAATTTCATTCCTTAGTTATTTTTCACTTTTGCAAACTACTGATCCCAAATAATTTGTTTAAAAAATTTGTAAGGGTTCTGCGGAACCCAGTGTCTCGCCTACTTTAGCTGTTAATCGCAGGCTTAACAAAAATGAGGAAAAAAATTGATAAAAATATTCCTCTCTATACTATCTTTTGATTGTAAGTAGCTTCTGTCCAAGTTTGGTAAAAATCCAGGATAATTTATGAATCTAATAAATGTTTTAAAAACTTAAACTGCAGACTGTATGTAATGTTGACTGGAAGAAAAACTAAGTCAATTTATAAGTAAAATACAGAAAAAATGGAACAAAATTTTATCAAAATTTCCTTCTTGATACTAGCTTTTGATCATAAACAAGCTACTGTCCAAGTGTGGTACAAATCCAGGATAGTTTAAGCAAGTTGTTAAAATTTCAAAAACTTTAACCACAGAGTGAATGTAATGTTAACTGGCAGAAAAACTAAGTCCATTTATAAGTAAAATACGGAAAAAATGGATTTTTTTTTTTACAAAATTTACTTCTGGATACTATCTTATGATCATAAACAAGCTTCTTTCCAAGTTTGGTAGAAATCCAGGATAGTTTAAGAAAGTTATTAAAATTTCAAAAACTTTAACCACAGAGTGAATGTAATGTTTCCTGGCAGAAAAACTAAGTCCATTTATAAGTAAAATACGGAAAAAGTGGAATTATTTTTTTACAAAATTTACTTTTGAATATAATCTTATGATCATAAACAAGCTTCTGTCCAAGTTTGGTAGAAATTCAGGATAGTTTAAGAAAGTTATTAAAATTTCAAAAACTTTAACCAGAGTGAATATTTGTGGACGCCGCCGACGGAATGTAGGATCGCTATATCTCGCATTTTCGACAAAAGTCGAAGGCTCGACAAAAATACCATTAAATCGAGAATAAAATATTTTCTGCTTCTAGGAATGTCTATTAGATCTGCAAATAATAAGCTGCTAGCTTGAATTCATTGACAAAAAAAATGATTACCATGTGCAAAAATTACAAATTTAAAATTTACATGGTTTAACAAACAAATAAAATTTCATTTGAATTTGCAGATTTTAAGAGATAACTTCCCTTTTTTTCAAAATCTTTCAAAAATTTCAAAGGACTCAAAATTCAAATGGCAACTGCCACAAAGGGATTCAACTATTAAATATTTAAGACTGATGTTTGTAGAATATCTTACAATAACAAAAGTATGTCACTAAAGCTCTAATCTTATTGAAGAAGCATCAATCACATTGCAAATGAATTATGCTGTAACTTACTATGTCCTGGGCATATAAAGTGGACATTTTGTTTTTCTATATCCATTACTGAGGTCAATGAAGGAAATCGCAGATTTTTCAATTCAAATTTCTCTGGTAAGAGACACAGAAACTGGCGATGGTTGCTATAGAAACTAATCAGTTCATCACTTGACTGGTCTCTTAACTGCATCATTTGATTTTCTATAACTGAAATAAATATACAATAAATATAAGTCTTGCACAACACAGATAACCAATGCAAGATGTGTAATACTGCACATACCAACTTGGCTAGAGGTATAAGGGGAGGGTTGAGATCTCACAAAACATGTTTAACCCAGCCGCATTTTTGCGCCTGTCTCAAAAAGAGGAACGAAAGATACGAGAGGGACAGTCAAACTCACAGATCGAAAACAAACTGACAACGCCATGGCCAAAAATAAAAAGATAAACAGACAAATAATAGTACAGATGACACAACATAGAAAACTAAAGACTAAGCAACACGAACCCCACCAAAAACTGGGGGTGATCTCAGGTGCTCCGGAAGGGTAAGCAGATCCTGCTCCACATGTGGCACCCGTCTCAAGTCAGGAGCCTCTAGCCTTTGTTAGTCTTGTATGTTTTTTTTTAAATTTTGGTTCATTTATATGTTTCAGAGTTTAGTGTGATGCAAGTTTTGCTGAACTAGTGCACATTTTTGTTAAGAGGCCAGCTGAATCCCACCTCGGGGTGCACTGTTTTCTTCTCTTTGGTAGGTTGTTGTCTCTTTGACACATTCCCAATTTCCATTCTCAATTTTATTAATCATTATATTGATACTTATTTTGTGTCCATCATTTTTTATTCACTTTGTGAGTGCCTTGGCCCAGTTCATATATAACGTCAAGGAAAAAATCTGTTTATTCCTATTATATTCAAGTGGACACATATTAATTTTAAATCTGTCTGGCAAAGTCAAGTGACATACGGCTTGTTAAAAGTTATTTTGCTTACTAAATCTATCAATAAGAATACAAATCTTCAAATCTAATTTGGTTGTGGAAATCCTGTACTATAATTATTATGAAGTTAAATATTCTTCTAAATGCCTTAATCATAAGTTACCAAGTAGGATTAATAAAGCTAATTTGCATAGACTTAATTCAACATTTGTGCACTTTCTCCATACATTTTCAATGTCACAATACTAAAATCATTACGTCACAAAAAAGCATATTATTCAATGACATCATTTACCCTGATTGACCTTGGGACATCTGGTGTAACTCATTCATAAAAAAAAGGAACTCCAGATTGGTTTATAGTGCATAACTTTTTGTTAGGAATTGATGTGTTCTGCTGTTGTTGTAACTAAATACTCAATGAAGCAGGTGTTCAACAAACAACATACCTGCCAACTTTTCAAAATCTCAATGCGGAATATAAAGCTGAAGAGGACCTAACATATCCTTTATATATGTCATGTATTTAATGATATACCCGGTATATGTTGTGTACAAATTGTAATGTTGTACAAATTATGATTTGTACAGAATTTTTGTACAAGTTATCAGTGTTTTATGAACTGCTTATCACAAATGGATGATACAAGTACATAGTCTTTTGTTTCACATATTTCTGTCATATTTCCATGACTACATGATACAGTCATATACTGAACATTGATACAAAAAACTTTATAAGAACACAAAAACACTTTTTATAGATATAATTTTGGTATAAGGAGAAAAATAAAAAATAGAATTTAAACCATTCAGGTGTCCTTGTTTCCAGTTTTAGGACAAGGAAAATAGCACTAAATGTTAGGTTAAAGTATATTAATTTGAATTTAAGAAATTGAACTGATAAATTTTAGAAGATAAACTTTTATCACCTGGTGCAAAATAGTATGTGCCAAAAAACTTATAACTTGTACAAAAACCCTGTACAAAGTATAGTTTGTACAAACTTACATCTTGTACACAACATATATATAATGATTTGAATGAAAATAAACATGCTTTAATGTCTTTTTCACTCCTTTAAATGTATGCTTAGTTTTAATTATATAATTTAATATTTAAGATTTTCACAAATTACTTTTTAAACTATATATATAAAATTATGAAAAGAAAAATAAAGATTAGCATGCAAATTTTTTGAATGGCACCACATGGACAAAACCAGAGGATTCTGAATATCTGACAAAAAGTTTGAATAAACTGCTTTGCTGAGCGCAGCTGGATATATCCGCAGAGGTCCAACCCTGAACAGTTGGGGCAAAAATGGACACAATATTCAAGCTTGATACAGGTCTGAATTTGGATTGTAATTAAATATTTGACATATTACAGGTTTCTGAATAAATGTAGTCAAAGAACTTGAAATTGGTTATATGAATTGAATTTATATTCAATTAAAGATCTCTTTCTGTTGTGCAATACACTGTGCTGTTGCGCAATACTTAGTAAATCTGTTGTCAGACTATAAAAAAATAAAGTTCAATTAATTCTCAATATCATATTAGAAATTTATGAAAATCAAAAGGGAGCTTACATCAATAGATATAAACAATTCACCAATGTTTCATGAGAATTGCTGACAGCATTTTTGAGTTTTATTCGGAAACTGGAAAATCCCCCCTTTTTTAATGAATAAAACCCCATAACTCATAAAAGTAAAATGTAAAATTTATAAAATTCTAAAGGGAGCTTTCATCAATAGATATAAACAATTCACCAAAGTTTCATAAGAACTGCTGAAAGCATTTTGGAGTTTTTGTCCGAAAACTGGAAAACCCCCCCTTTTTTTTAATAAAACCCTGTAACTCAGAAACGTAAAATCTAAAATTTATAAAAATCAAAAGGGAGCTCCTGTCAACAGATATAAACAATTCACCACAATTTCTTGCAAGTTGGTGAAAGCATTCTTGAGTTATTGTCAGAAAACTGGAAAATCCCCCTTTTTTTAATGAATAAAACCCCATAACTCGGAAACGTAAAATCTAAAAATTTATAAAAAACGAAAGGGAGCTCACGTCAATAGATATAAACAATTCACCAAAGTTTTATGCAAATTGGTTAAAGCGTTTTTGAGTTAATGTCTGACATGTTGACGACGGACGGACAGACAGACGGACAGATGGACAACGGTATACCATAATACATCCCATAAATGGGCGTATAAAAAGACAAGCAAACATCCTTAACATCTGTTATAGATGAAATTCCCTATTAATTGGGAAAATTGGCAGATCTAAAACAATCCATTTATCACTTACAATATCCAGGTATATTTTCCACAGAACAACTAGATGTATCCTTGCTAGAACCAACCATTGCTAATCCCAGATGATCGTAAACTCTTAGTGTCTCATCAGCTGTACAGTCCTCTTTCTGCTCCTGTTGATTTCAAAAACATATGTAAATTCAGAATTCATTGCCCGGTTTTTACTATTGAGATTAATTAAGTATCACAATAATAAGAAATCGCATTCAGGGCTTATGGTCATTTTGTGTCCTGAAAGTTGAACAATCATAAAAACTGTTAAAAGTGTTTAGAAAATTGTGCACAATTCATCTTTTTTTGAAAAAGAGAAATACCTGGCATGAGTAATGGTTTATCCTCTCCAGTACTAGAGACGAAATTTCACATAACATTTCATTGTATAAAAGAAAATTACCATTACCAGAAGTAAACCAATCAAATTGTCACCCCTTTTTTGTAGAAACACCAGGGTTAATTTCATAAAAATGTCAATTCAACGAAATATTTTTATTATTGCTTTTTTATATGAAACCGGGTGTGATGTACCATGTTTTGGTGGTATTACACCTATAATTGGAAAATTGTGAGCACAACAGATACAACAGTTTAACTTTATATTTGATGAGACTATGAAATAACTATAGGATATCTTCTCTGAAATAATCTATAGTTGTGTTGCTGTTCACAAATATTCCACAAAGGAAATATGAATTGAAGGCTATGTATATTTTTTTCATTTTTGTGAAAAAGACATATATTATGATGAAATTGTTGGATCCAGCAATGGAAATCTTGTTATTTTTCATCTATACTTTTTTTATTCTATGTATTTCTCTTATTTTCTGTAAAATTTGAAGTAGTTTTCAGTGGGCAAAAATCAATGCTTATTTTGTGATGTATATTCACTTAAAAGTATATACTTACATCGCTGAAAAAATCATAAGGAACGGGTAAACTGCCAACTTCTTCACAATATATTGGCCAATCAAATTGTTTACCATACTCTAAAAATAAATGTGAAAAAAGTCTTATTTTTCAATGGACAAAATCTATAAAATATTGTAAAGTTAAAAGTCAAAATTGTTAATATTAGAAACAACCCTTTTCTTTAATCTAATCTAATTCATAAATATTTCATGTTTGGTCAAAGCTAACTATAGCTACAAAAAACTGTCAACTTTTGAATACACAAAGTGCCGTAAATATTGATTTCTTATATGTTTATTGGAAAACAACCTCTTCCAAGGGCTGGAAATTTTCCCCAAAATTATTTTTTAAGTAACAAGAGTGCACACGCTGAAATGTCTCCCCTTCTTTACTAATCATTGATATTATGTTGATAGTCCTAAATATAAAGCTTTATTTCAACTGTCACATAAACTTAACATTAACCAAGTATACTAAACATTGACCACTGAACCATGAAAATGAGGTCAAGGTCAGATGACACCTGCCAGTTGGACATGTACACCTTACAGTCCTACCATACACCGAATATACTAGACCTATTGCTTATAGTATCTGAGATATGGACTTGACCACGAAAACTTAACCTTGTTCACTGATCCATGAAATGAGGTCGAGGTCAAATGAAAACTGTCTGACAGGCATGAAGACCTCGCAAGGTACGCACATACCAAATATAGTTATCCTATTACTTATAAAAAGAGAGAATTTAACATTACAAAAAATCTTAACTTTTTTTTCAAGTAGTCACTGAACCATGAAAATGAGGTCAAGAACTTTGGACATGTGACTGACGGAAACTTCTTAACATGAAGCATCCATATACAAAGTATGAAGCATCCAGATCTTCCACCTTCTAAAATATAAAGCTTTTAAGAAGTTAGCTAACGCCGCAGCCACCGTCGCCGGATCACTATCCCTATGTCAAGCTTTCTGCGACAAAAGTCGCAGGCTCGACAAAAACATTCACATCATTGTTATTTTTATATTTTCTTTAATTTTCCAAAACATTTGAGAGAAACTACCATGACTAGGATACCAATGATTTAAAAAACAACTGTTATGTATTTCTCATTTCACATAAATATCTATGTATTTCTCATTTAACACAAATATCTATGTATTTCTCATTTAACATAAATATCTATGTATTTCTCATTTAACATAAATATCTATGTATTTCTCATTTAACATAAATATCTATGTATTTCTCATTTAACAAAAATATCTATGTATTTCTCATTAAACATAAATATCTATGTATTTCTCATTTAACAAAAATATCTATGTACTTCTCATTTATCATAAATATCTATGTACTTCTCATTTAACATAAATATCTATGTACTTCTCATTTAACATAAATATCTATGTATTTCTCATTTAACAAAAATATCTCATTTAACAAAAATATCTATGTACTTCTCATTTAACATAAATATCTATGTACTTCTCATTTAACAAAAATATCTATGTACTTCTCATTTAACAAAAATATCTATGTACTTCTCATTTAACAAAAATATCTATGTATTTCTCATTTAACAAAAATATCTATGCACTTCTCATTTAACAAAAATATCTATGTATTTCTCATTTAACAAAAATATCTATGTACTTCTCATTTAACAAAAATATCTATGTATTTCTCATTTAACAAAAATATCTATGTATTTCTCATTTAACAAAAATATCTATGTATTTCTCATTTAACAAAAATATCTATGTATTTCTCATTTAACAAATATATCTATGTACTTCTCATTTATCATAAATATCAATGTACTTCTCATTTAACATAAATATCTATGTACTTCTCATTTAACATAAATATCTATGTATTTCTCATTTAACAAAAATATCTCATTTAACAAAAATATCTATGTACTTCTCATTTAACATAAATATCTATGTACTTCTCATTTAACAAAAATATCTATGTACTTCTCATTTAACAAAAATATCTATGTACTTCTCATTTAACAAAAATATCTATGCACTTCTCATTTAACATAAATATCTATGTATTTCTCATTTAACATAAATATCTATGTATTTCTCATTTAACAAAAATATCTATGTACTTCTCATTTAACAAAAATATCTATGTATTTCTCATTTAACAAAAATATCTATGTATTTCTCATTTAACAAAAATATCTATGTACTTCTCATTTAACATAAATATCTATGTATTTCTCATTTAACAAAAATATCTATGTACTTCTCATTTAACAAAAATATCTATGTACTTCTCATTTAACAAAAATATCTATGTATTTCTCATTTAACAAAAATATCTATGTATTTCTCATTTAACAAAAATATCTATGTATTTCTCATTTAACACTTCTCATTTAACATAAATATCTATGTACTTCTCTCTATGCATTTCTCATTTAACAAAAATATCTATGTATTTCTCATTTAACAAAAATATCTATGTATTTCTCATTTAACAAAAATATCTATTCATAACAATGGTATGATACAAACTTCATATTAATTGATTATACAAGGCCACATGAGACATGTAATGTATCTTCAACTTTTGAATTATTAAATAAATTTAAATAATTACTATAAGGTTCCTGTAGATGAATAGTCTTGCCAGTCAGGCCAGTAAGCTTGTGATGATTAGCATCCATCCAACCTATAGGATGTATATCCGTAGAGTCCGGAGGGCATACATAGTCATAGGAGCTAGTCCAACCATCAAAGTGTATCACGAATGAGCCGTCTGTGTTAATGGTTTCTAGAAATACAAAAATCAGATATATCAATTTTATTTTTTACCAGTTTTATTTAGTTTTATTTAGCTTAATAAGAGCATAAATTTATTAAACAGATTTATGTCTCGTCTCATTTGCAGCAAATTCAAAAACAATAATTTGATAAACTGTCATATTATACTAAATGTATTCTGGGAGTGGATATTACTTTTTTGTAGTTGGTAGATTCTTTTATACAACACTGAGCTTGGTGGTATAAAATGATTAAAACCACACATCAATTTGATTTTCTCATGCATTTTGACATCAATTTCAGTTGATGTGTTTGGTAGCAGATTCAATTATGAGTCTCCTTGGTAATTGACAACAGTAATTGTTTTATATATTATAAAACATGGCATCTTCAAATCCATTCACAAGTGTATGCTCTGAATTGTCCTAACCATACACAGTAGAAATCAATATGAACATAAATGTATTCCTCTTAAGCAACTACAAAACTATGTGCCTGTATTTATTGTTTCATTTGTGAAACAATAGGGTTATTCAGTTTGGTATTACAATTTTTCTGTCAAAGATTTTTGTTCTCTCAGGACATTTTGGTTACCTCCATCAACAAAACCTGTTTTTTTTGTTCAGAAATGCCCTGAATATAGACAAACTTGTTGTGCATTGTATCAACAAACAAAACCAATAAATATGTGGGAAAGAAATAAGAAGATGTGGAATGATTGCCAATGAGATAACTCTCCACCAGAGACCAAATGACATAGAAGTTAACAGCTATCGGTTACTGTATGGTCTTGAACAAGGATCAAAACCTATACCACATACTGTGGATTCATTATTATTCGTTGGATACCAATTTTCGTGGGTTTCGTGGGTACAGGTTAACCACAAATTCAAATGTTCAACGAATTACAAATTTTCCATAGACTTTGTATGCAGAGATTGACAAAACAACGAAATCAAATATCCACGAAACTGCAAGATTTCCTCGATCCACGAAAATTGATACCCACGAAAATAAATGAATCCACAGTAGTTAAAGTTATAAAAGGCCAGAAATGACAAATGTAAAACAGTTCAAACAAGAAAACTAGAGGCCCAAATTTTGTATAAAACATTTAAAGAAAAACAAATATGATGTCTTTTTATCCTGTATCCTAAAGGTCAGAGGTCTTTTCACTTGTACTCACGAACAGTAGCAACACAATAAAAGTTTGGTGTCTTTCTATCCAAAGCTTCTAATCTCATCCCAGGTTTTACTTCTGTACTTTGGCCTGTTGATTGCTACAAAAGAGTACAATTAGAACATATATCAAAAATAACAAGAAATGATTGTAACAGGATGCTGTTACGAAGTCTCCCAAACGAAGCTCCCATAATTTGTAATTCCCATGGTCGCCTGACATTGAGCAAAGTCCAGTGAAAATTGGTTTGGTCCAGTAAAGTTATATGCATTAGTGATGCCTGGGGACTAACCCTGTATATCATTCAAATCATCTTGGCATGACAAACCAGAATATATATGGTTTAGGGGTGGGGATCTTGACCACTTACAAGATATTAGAACTTTCTTAAATGGCATAGGGTGGGGGTGACCCCTGGGGACTAACCCTGTATTTCATTTGATTTGCTTTATCATGACAAACTAGAATATATATGGTTTAGGGGTGGGGATCTCGACCATTTACAAGATATTAGAACTTTCTCAAATGGCATGGGGTCGGGATGACCCCTGGGGACTAACCCTGTATATCATTCAAACCATCTTAGCATGACAAACCAGAATATATATGGTTTAGGGGTGGGGATCCGGACCATTTACAAGATATTAGAACTTTCTCAAATGGCATGGGGTCGGGATGACCCCTGGGGACTAACCCTGTATATCATTCAAACCATCTTAGCATGACAAACCAGAATATATATGGTTTAGGGGTGGGGATCCGGACCATTTACAAGATATTAGAACTTTCTCAAATGGCAGGGGGTCGGGATGACCCCTGGGGACTAACCCTGTATATCATTCAAACCATCTTAGCATGACAAACCAGAATATATATGGTTTAGGGGTGGGGATCTTGACCACTTACAAGGTATTAGAACTTTCTTAAATGGCAGGGGGTGGGGGTGACCCCTGGGGACTAACCCTGTATTTCATTTAATGGGTTTTATCATTTAGAACATTTTCGATTAAAAAGATTGTGTCTATCACAAACGGTTTTCAATTTATAATCATTTGAAAATTTAAAAAAATAAAATCCCATAGGGTTCTATAGTAAAACCCTCTTTTGTTTTTGCCCCTCAAAGTACCCCTTTATAAACCCCATTGCACAAACAAAACCCTGATTGCACCATTAGACATGTTAGTCTAACATATTGTGAAACCCTAAGTTAATCTGACAAGTGGTTTTGGAGAACGGGTGCGGACAAGTTCAAATTTAAAAGCGGCGGAAGAGGAAGAGGAAGAAGAATAATAATAATAATAACTGAGCAAAAACAATAAGTCTTCCAAACTTCGTTTGGGAGACTTAATTACCACTATGTTTTGTTATTTAAAAAGATTTTCATGATATTTTGACTTTGGCAACTCATGTAGCCAGTTCTATAAGTTTTGTGACTGCCGCAGAGTTTGCGAAAATCGTCGGTCCTGTTGGTCATGATCCCCAAATGAGGCTTGGATCGGTATTTTGATTGCTAGCTGCGGTCCTGATGACCGATGCAAAAACAGCGGTTGCAGTGCCTATGTCGGCACATTTTTACATAGGTCATCAGATGAACCCGCGGCTAAATCCGGTACTAGTTTCCAAATTTTATTATAAACAAACCAAGGAGGCCAGCTACATGTGGCCTATCAAATTTGTTCATGGAGCCGTCCCTGTAAACGATCGGCAGTGGAACCTTCCGATGAAGCCAAACATAAAAAGGAAGCAATATGAACAGGAACGAATAAATACATTATTAATTTTATTTCAGGATAAAATTGACAGATTTTGTAGGACCAGCAAAAATTTTGAAGGACTGACATATAATCTTGCTTTGTCAGTCCCATGACTGACAAGTCAAAAAAAGTTTTCGCGAACTCTGCTACAGTCTATTAACATCTGTATGTGTTGGTATGGTAACCTTGTTTTCTTGCTTTTAAATTGTCTTTATATTCTTTCTAATAACAACTTTCAGATTCCACCTTTTACTTTATTGGTTTGGTCTCTTTTGCTTGTTATCATTTGAATTTACATGTTGCCAGTTATCATTTACATTTACATTTTGATTGTTATCATTTACATATTGATTGTTATCATTTACATTTGATTGCTATTATTTGTTTTTACATTTTGATTGTTATCACTTACATTTACATTTTGCTTGTTATTATTTGCATTTACATTATGATTGTTATCATTTGTATCTACATTTTAATTGTTATCATTTACATTTACATTTTGCCTATGATAATTTACATTTACAAGTTGCCTGTTATTATTTACATTTACATTTTGATTGTTATCATTTACATTTTGCCTGTGATAATTTACATTTACAAGTTGCCTGCTATTATTTACATTTACATTTTGATTGTTATTATTTGTATTTACATTTTGATTGTTATCATTTACATTTACATTTTGATTGTTATCATTTACATTTACATTTTGCCTGTTATTATTTGCATTTGAATTAACGTTTTTGTCTGTTATCATTTGAATTTACACTTTGCCTGTTATTATTTGAATTCATATTTTGCCTATAATCATTTGAAATTACATCTTGATTGTTATCATTTACATTTACATTTAGATTGTTATCATTTGATTTACATTTTGCCTGTTGTCATTTACATTTACCTTTTGCCTGCAATTATTTGCATTTACATTTTGATTGGTTATCATTTGAATTAAATTTCCATTGTTATAATTTACATTTACATTTTGCCTGTTATTATTTACATTTACATTTTGCCTGTTATCATTTGAATTAACATTTGATTGTTGTTATTTGAATTTGAATTTTGCTTCTTATCATTTGCATTTTTATCTTCTTTTACATTATTGCAAATTATAGTATTTGTTGAAAGAAATTCCATTTAAAACTAGCTATAGTGTGACCATTTTAACAGGGGACCTACAAATATTCTACAGATATATTGTCTTTGCAATAATCCATAACTTTAAATAAGATAATAGGTTGAAATTACTGAGATTAAATACCAACAATAGGGCAAAACCAGAGTTGAATACCAATTTTCTTGGATTAAGGTAAACTCCCGGGGGGGTTACTGACTATATTTCGGGTATAACTGTGCCGACAAAACTTGCCAAATCATACCCTGTTCTAACCAGAAAACATTGAAAAATATACCCTGTTCTAGACACGCTCTGAAAATGTATACCCTGTTCTAGACCGTATAAAATAGATGCTGTTCTAGACCCGGGTTCTAGACTGTATCTTAAACAGTTAAATAAGCGATCCTGTTCTAGTTAAGCATATCTCTTCATAAGAGTACATTCTAGGCTTCAATGTCAGCACATTTTGGAAATATTGTCAAAAAATGATGATTTAGTGCATTTTTCAGACCTAAAAGCTTGAGGAAACCCTTGGCCGCAACCTAGGTTGCCAAAAGTTGCCAATGATGATATTGAATCCCTAGACACAAAAACTTTCTGGTTCAGAGTTGGATGCGAAAGTAATTATGTTAAAATCTGTTAAGAATTATTGAAATTAGACCAAAATTGACCTTACAACACAAATAATGCATACTTGAGAGGTCATTTCTTCATCATTTTAAATATATAATGTGCCAAAAAGAAGTTATTTTGTATAAAAAGTTATATCACAACAATTTCTATTTGAAATTTGTAGTATTTTGACCTGATTAAAAAAACATCAAAATCTTAGGACAAAATTTAAGCCTATGTGAACTTACTCATTCGAAGTTTACCTATACATGTACCAATAAATCCCTGAAAAATTGGCATTCCTTAAAAAAATTAAAAATCCTTAACCCAGACTAAGGAATCATAGCTTCGCACAAGGAAGATTATCCTACTTTGGATTGAGTCAGTTTGTAAATTATTTCTTGATTGCAGATATTTAACAATAGATTTATACATTATATTAATCTTTATCATCATTTGGTTTATTTTCATTTTGGAAAACCACAATTTAGTCTGCAAATAGATTTTACTCTTTGTTACTGCAAATCTCTTCAAGAATTAACAAGCCCTGAAGTTTTAACATAATAATAACAGACTTTCCGGTGTCCTAGCAATCTCTTTGTATTGGGGTGGGGATTGTCCTTGTAAATATTGTTGTAAATATGTTAGTGACACATCTCCATTAATCCCGATAAGGAGTGTACACGATTTCCACTGTACCCTCACAGGTCTCCAGGGTTGCTCCAAATAACGGAGGAATCTACCAGTACATACATACAAACATGAGTATACATTCATCTTCTAAATAAAGTTGAAGGACTATGTAGATCTAATAAACCTCACCGTATGTCCATGAACCATGATAACAGACTTTATGCCAGCTGACTTAACACCATGGTAAACTAATACTGGTATATACAACTTTGTCGGCAGCTTCAATTCGATCTGAGCTTCACCATTTATTGTCAATTTCAGTTTACAAAACATATTGCTTTTTTCTGTGGTTGGCCATGGTGACATTGCAAAGTTAACAGTCTTTCCAAGTGGGTCTTTCTTGTAAACTTGTTGCACTTTTGAATCTTCTGGATTTTTAACTTGGCCTGTTTTGAAGGAGTATGACAGTACTGTACCTTTCTGAACCGATGTTCTGAAACAAGCCAAATCCATATATATATATATATATATATAAGAGGGTGTTGATGAGGTTTTTCAGAATAGTGATTAATTAGCAAATAGTTCAGAATACAGGGCAAAAATATAAAGAATGGAGAATAATGGGGTGCTGAAATATACAGAATGGAGAATAATGGGGTGCTGAAATATACAGAATGGAGAATAATGGGGTGCTGAAATATACAGAATGGAGAATAATGGGGTGCTGAAATATAAAGAACGGAGAATAATGGGGTGCTGAAATATAAAGAATAGAGAATAATGGGGTGCTGAAATATAAAGAACGGAGAATAATGGGGTGCTGAAATATAAAGAACGGAGAATAATGGGGTGCTGAAATATAAAGAATGGAGAATAATGGGGTGCTGAAATATAAAGAATAATGGGGTGCTGAAATATAAAGAATGGAGACTAATGGGGTGCTAAAGTATAAAGAATAGAGAATAATGGGGTGCTGAAATATAAAGAATGGAGAATAATGGGGTGCTGAAATATAAAGAATGGAGAATAATGGGGTGTTGAAATATAAAGAATGGAGAATAATGGGGTGCTGAAATATAAAGAATGGAGAATAATGGGGTGCTGAAATATAAAGAATGGAGAATAATGGGGTGCTGAAATATACAGAACGGAGAATAATGGGGTGCTGAAATATAAAGAACGGAGAATAATGGGGTGCTGAAATATAAAGAACGGAGAATAATGGGGTGCTGAAATATAAAGAATGGAGAATAATGGGGTGCTGAAATATAAAGAATAATGGGGTGCTGAAATATAAAGAATGGAGAATAATGGGGTGCTAAAGTATAAAGAATAGAGAATAATGGGATGCTGAAATATTAAGAATGGGGAATAATGGGGTGCTGAAATATAAAGAATGGGGAATAATGGGGTGCTGAAATATAAAGAATGGAGAATAATGGGGTGCTGAAATATAAAGAATGGAGAATAATGGGGTGCTGAAATATAAAGAATGGAGAATAATGGGGTGCTGAAATATAAAGAATAGGGAATAATGGGGTGCTGAAATATAAAGAATGGAGAATAATGGGGTGCTGAAATATAAAGAATGGAGAATAATGGGGTGCTGAAATATAAAGAATAATGGGGTGCTGAAATATAAAAAACGGAGAATAATGGGGTGCTGAAATATAAAGAATGGAGAATAATGGGGTGCTGAAATATAAAGAACGGAGAATAATGGGGTGCTGAAATATAAAGAATGGAGAATAATGGGGTGCTGAAATATAAAGAATAATGGGGTGCTGAAATATAAAGAATGGAGAATAATGGGGTGCTTAAGTATAAAGAAAAGAGAATAATGGGGTGCTGAAATATAAAGAATAGGGAATAATGGGGTGCTGAAATATAAAGAATGGGGAATAATGGGGTGCTGAAATATAAAGAATGGGCAATAATGGGGTGCTGAAGTATAAAGAATAATGGGGTGCTGAAATATAAAGAATGGAGAATAATAGGGTGCTAAAGTATAAAGAATAGAGAATAATGGGGTGCTGAAATATAAAGAATGGGGAATAATGGGGTGCTGAAATATAAAGAATGGAGAATAATGGGGTGCTGAAATATAAAGAATGGAGAATAATGGGGTGCTGAAATATAAAGAATGGAGAATAATGGGGTGCTGAAATATAAAGAATGGAAAATAATGGGGTGCTGAAATATAAAGAATGGAGAATAATGGGGTGCTGAAATATAAAGAATAGATAAAAATTATATAAAAAGTTAAAGAATAAATAAATGAAGAACCGCTGTCCAGAGACTCCAGACCAGGGGTTCCAAAACGGTCATATTTTCTGGACAAGTCCGATAAATTATATAAATGACTTGTTGTGCCAAGCTTAAGGCTGAAACAGAAATTTTTTAAAATAGTTCAGAAAAAAAATTGAAGTTTATGTGATCTTTTTGACCCGACCTTTTGCCTTAAACAGCCACACATTTCCGGTCATATAAGTGACATGAGTTATAATTACTATCAACACAAACCCTACTATAGTACCCTCTCATTACAATCAAGGTTAATTAGTTCTCTGACAGCTGATTTTACCTGTTCAGGCGACAGGTAAACTATTTTGTACCGGACATTGATCGGTCTAGTATTAAAAGTTTTTTTCTTAAATTTCAGCGGTTTGCATGTAATTAATTTAATCAACAAGATTCAGTTTACCAGAAAACGTATATAAGTATGATTTGATGAAATTTAAAAAGGTAGTAATAAAGATTTTAAGTGAAAAATTGTCAGAACCACGTTGTTTGAACTAGTACACTTGTGCGCATGTGCGCAGGTGTGAGATTTAATTATGCATTCGAATTTTCAAAAATGCTAAAAATATCATTGATACCTATATCTAACGTTCATTACGAGTCTTTTCCTGTAGAAATAAAGCGAAAAGAGCTACTTAAACTCAATCGTGCTTTGTAAACGTACACAAATTTTACGTATCCATCTCTGCTCCGTGTTTTACCATCGTCAAGTCAACATCCCTTAATAGGAAAAGTACTTTTTAAAAACGAAAGTGAAGTTATTGACAGCATAATTTTGCACAAATAAAGTCTCTTATACAGATTTTAATACGCTGATGTTGCACACTTCGAATGGCGCACTGTCAATTAAACAGTTAGCACCAGAACATCGAATTTATATTAAAAATCAAGTCAAATACCGTTTTTGTGTCAATCATAATTCATATGATGCCCAACTGATTACTATGGTTGCCTGCTGTTACTAAGTCTTAAGGGATTAAAATCGGGATAAGACAAAAAAAAGGTCCGGCTGGCTCAAATATTTTTTGAAAGCCCTGGTCCAGACCCGCATATAATGGTTTATAATTGACAATATAAAACTTAAACAAGAATATGAATCTATAGGACATGATGCCCGCTGCCACTATTGTATTTCCATGTTCAGTGAACCGTGAAATCACAACATGTGTAATAAGTTTGTCTTTTGATGAGCTAAATGTGTTGTATTATTTTCTATTGAAACAAACATGCTCAAAAAGGATAACATAACATAACATAAAATTTATCAAGTTTATAATGTAAACAGGATAATTTCATATTTGTTATTTTTGAACTGTGAAATCTTTCAATATTATGAGGGAAGAGTTAAATTTGACTATTCACTCTCATAAGAGGAGTAGTCTCCCTTGAAATGGGTCTCATAAAATAGGATCATAATTTAAAGACTTCAACAAACCTGAGTTCAATTAGAACATCTTCTACATTATTTAAGTCCACTGGAGTAAAACTGATGTCCGGTTGATGGAAAGGATGTAGATTTGGCTGAACAACAATGAAAGGATATTTTTGTCCAGATTCCACACCTTTAAATACAATGTCAGAATCGATAATACTTTCTCCTATCATCTTTTCTTTTTCACCACCTGTAGGTGTATCTACTTGATGAACTGAGTCAGATATCAACATCTTTTTCTTCATTTCCTGTGGAATAATAGAAAAATTTAGTTGTGTACATGGAAAAAAAACTCGTTGCCTGTCAAAAAATAATTCAATTATACCTGCCCCTTATTTTGTTACTTTTAAATATAACAAATTTTGATGGCCATTATATGCACAACTAGAGGCTCACTGATATTCCTACAAATAGATAGACTTTTTTGTCACAGGTCAGATAAAACCAACAAGACTTCAGCGAAGAAGTGTGTTGCTGGCTGTCTCCAAAAGCAGAAATGACAAAATCCATGTTATGGTATTTAAAATCCCAAAATAACTTAGATTAAAAAAATTAAAATAACAGGCATTTCATTTTCTGTAATAGAATCTGTGCAAGTTTGGTAGAATTCTGACTATAAACTATTTTCATTGATTTGCTGGTTAAAAAACTGATATAAGCAGACATTGTTAAGGCTGTGAATTTGTATAAGAAACCACAAAAGTCACTCAGATCAAAAATTTAAATAACAGGTTACAGTTTTCAAGGAGTTAAGAAAGTGAGACATTGACACATGGCAACAGATATGATCACTATGTGTCACTTCAGATTCTTTGCCAGGCAACAAAATATAAAGATAATAGTAATGAAAATTACACTTTATAAATTTTGTGCATCTGCTGTGCTTTTCTGGATTAACCTTCATCAGGAACAATCAAGCTAAAAACTTGATAGCATATATTAAGTATATATATTTGTCAGTATATAATCTGACAAGACATCAAATAAAGCGAAAAACAAACAATAATTAGTTTTGATTATTTTTTGTCTCTATGTTCTTTAAATAAAAAGTAAAAAATTATATTTCATATCATACTAAATTAATATATTATACTGGCAACCCTGCATACCAAGGTATCCACTTTAGGAGTCTCTACCAAAAGTAAACAGAACAGTTTTGGTTCCCTCGATGGACTTTTAATTATTATACATTTTTTGATAAGATTTGGTTTCATTTTTAAAAAAGAGAGGAAAAAAATACCAAAGAGACATTTAAACTCATGAGTCCAAAATAAACTAACAACACCATGGCACATGCATAAATACTTATTATGCATGGAACAAATTTACAGACCAGGCCAATATGTTTCTTGCATTAGTCCTTAACTTTCAATAAAAACATGATAGGCTTTACTAACCATCATAAACTCATTCTGTCTGCTGGACATTCCACACTTTTGGCACAACACAGCACCACTGTCATGGATAAACATTCTATGTCCATCAATGAATCCACAGATACCTATTCAAAATAAAAGAAATTTGAAAATGTATACTAAGGAAAATGTAAAAGTGACTGATAAATATTAAAAATTTGTATAGGGTTCCATTAACCCTGTGTCTCTCTTGTGATTATTGCTGTCAGTGTACATGTTGATTACTAAAAACTTGGTCCATTGATTGGTAAAATACACACAAATGAAATATTTTCTAAATTTTACTCTGGGATACTGTCTTTTAATCATAAAAAAGCTTCTGACAACATTTCATACAATTCCATGAAGATTAGACACAGTTATTTGAAAAATGTTTAATCAAATTTAACCCTGGACTGAACCTAAATGTTGACACCAATGCCAACGCAAATATTTTACTAAATGTTTGACATCTCTTTTGAATTATTATATGATTCCTTAACCCCCAGCATATTGTATTATATGAAACAGCATGAGCCATCTTAACTTTGTGTTAAGGTAGATTTAAACATAACTGTCAATCTGTCTAACAATGGGCAATAATTAAGAAATAATTCATGGCAGCCTTAGATTTGTTTTCATTCACCAAAATATGATATAAAAAACTTTCATTTTTCACCTGAAAATTTTCTTTTTATCTAATTATATTACTTTCTGAGGCGTACAAGAAGTCTGAAAATGCCCAGTTTTCACACCAGACACCAGAAGCATACGTATGACATCACCTTGTTTAGTTGCCAAAGACAATAACATCATTTTGTGGAATTTTTGTTTTATGAAATTTTACAGCAAAATCTGGGTTTTCCTGCAGCCAATTAAGTTAATCTGGTTGTATAAATAAGGTGGGTGTAATATGGAACAGCCAATATTGTATATGAATGTGTTTGCACTAAAATTAAATATACTGTGATTATACTGGTTGACACTATATAGGTTGTCATATTAGAACTGTCAACAATATTCTCAACAAAAGATAATGACTTTGTGTATGTAATATCATATCTCCTACCTTCTGGAACGTTTTTAAGCTTTTCTTTCACTTCAACCTAGAGGAGAAAAATGCAGATTTAAAATTGTTACACTGAATAAAAAAAAAAGAGTTATGCTGCATGCAGCATATCAAGAAATAAAAGTTGAACATGGGTAAAAGAAACTACAAATAGTTAATAACATGACCATAGACACACCACAATTTCAACTTTAGTAGTAAAAGAGTAGGTTCATGAAAGGCTAATAATGGCCCAATATTTTTAATGTTTTTCAACAGGCCACTTTCTACTTCTTTGCAAATAATGTCAGAAGAATGTGAGTAACAATAAGTGTCCCAAAATTGTATACTTTTTATATTGGATGTTTTGATCAACATTTCCAAATAGTGGAGGATCAAGGATTTTACAGAAATTTCAGAGATGTGTTATATATAGTTGGATACAGAATTGTTTGTACTGCCAGAACAAATACAATCTACCTAATACACTTCAAACATGTTCTTCGTGTTATTGACACAGATAAGAACAATTTAAATGAATATACCTTTCCTGCCAATTTGTTTAAAAAAAATCCTAAATTTACTTAAATCACCCAAAAGACTGCTTTACCTTGAAAGGAATTCCACTATTCGTTAGGACATACTCCACAATTAATTTCATCTTTTTAGCAGGATGTAGAAGGATTTTTGGTAATAAGGTTTTCAGATCACCAGCCTGACTATTGGAAGTCTGCACTACAACTTCTATATGGGGACTTTCTGTAAAAAAAGTCTTCACTATGAGATACATCAAAATACAATATAATTTGAGTTAGAACATTAATTTATGAATTTTCTTAATTGATAATTTTTCATTGAAACTACATAAATAATTCTGCCTCTATGATATTTAAAAATTATATGCAATTCATGTGATCTTTTTCTGAAAAAAAAATCAAGCAAACAGAAAAATCCAACAAAAAATCTCACCAAAACGACTTTTAAGGTGTAATACCACAAAATCATAGTACACATTTGGTTGCATACGAAAAAGGGTCGAAAAAAAATAATCCCTTGAATTTGACAGTTGAAGGAAATTAATCCTACATTTCATTGCAGTAAAAAATTTCTGAGTCATAAACATATATCTTGGGTGTTTTAAAGCACCATTATTTTTTTATTTGGTGTTTCTATAGAATATTTTGGAAACCTGAGGTTACATGATTACTAAAGCTTGTACACAGGATAAAAAAGGGTAAAAATTTGATTGGTTAACTTCCAGTAATGGTTATTATCTTTTATTATATACTTAGTAGTAAATACATGTAAATTGTATGTGTAATACAATTAATGACAATCATGCTGTGTAAACCATCCATGATGATATCGACATCAGTCACTGTTGCAAAGGCTTTATCACACCCTTAATTTGTATGACGTCTAGTCATCGACATCAGTCACCGTTGCAAAGGCTTTATCAAACCCCTAATCACCCTACATGAAAAAACATCAACTTGATGTATATAATAAAGTGCATATGATATGGCTTTTTCAATATCACACACCGTATCAACCCTCAACCAATATAATCCCTCGAGCAGAGCTCTTGGGATTATATTGGTGTCTTGGGTTGATACAAATGTGATATTGAAAAAGCCATATAATATTCTCTATATATGCAATGAAACATTATGTGAAATTTTGTCTATAATACTGGACAGGATAAAACTTTACTGATGCCAAGTATTTCTTTATTTGAAACAAAGAAAAATTCTGCAAAATTTTGTGAAGAGTGCAAATTTAACAAAGACTAATAGGGGAAAATCAATGGTGGTAGTATACCTTAACCACAAATTTTTAGACCCTTGCGTTCAATGCTAAATTCTACAATTTCAAGCATTTGTTATGTTTTCACCTTAAGTTCAATAAAGATCTCAGCTATATCCTATGAAAACTGCATCCTTTGCTTATCTTCTACTTTAAAACTCTGCATATATTTAGTTGAAAATAAGAGATAATTGCTTCCCAGAAGATGTTGGAACAGGTCCTTCAAGCTATTGGTTCCAATTTACACATACAATTTCTACCACTCAGAAATTTGCATACATGAGTAAAATTAACAATACAACCTGAATTGAAACTTATCGACACATTTTCAGCTATTATTTCACACCAAGTAAGCTTAAATTTTTTAAAGATTTTAAAAGTTACACCAATCAGAAGAACCTACTTTTTACGAAAATGAACAACTTTCTAGTATGTTTTCATGCCTGGCCTCTATATCAGTGGTTTTAAACTATAAAGAATATTGACTATATAAGTGAATCGTACTAAATTTAGGTGAAGTCTAAAGAAACAGTTAACTATTTAGAAGGAATAGCACTTACAAAATTTATGGAAATATGAATATTTGGATAGTTTTACACAGAGACAGACAGACAGAAGAGGTGAATTCAATATAAATCCCAAAGATTATTTAAAAGCAATAACTAAATATTGGGCAGGATAGGATTTACAGTAATATGTATGAATCTTACAAATGGGGTGACTAAAGTTTTGAAATTTGTGATTTGGTTGAGAAGTATAAAATTGAGAATGGAAATGGGGAATGTGTCAAAGAGACAACAACCCGACCATAGAGCAGACAACAGCCGAAGGCCACCAATAGGTCTTCAAATACTTATAACCAAGTAACTGAATTTCCCAAAGGATTCAATGGGAACTCTACAATTTTTTTTTTGATTCTTCAATGCCACTTAATTGATTATGTCATTCTGAAATAAAAAAAAATGTTGTTGTTTTCTTTTCTTTTTTCCCGTAAATACAGTAAACAAACCACTAAAGATTAGTCTACACAACTGGTTAAAAGGCGAATTGATAAAACTGTGTGGAATTACTGTTATCAGGAAGTAGCTACCTACCTTTCAAGTTTTTCAGCTGAATAGCAATCTGAGTGAGGTTTTCTAAGATAATGATGCCATTCTTCCATAAAATGGTCGGTCTCCTGATATTGGAGGTACACGAAAATATCTTGTTCATAATATCTGTACACAGACTGTGAACCAGGTTAAACTGATACCTAATCTCTTGAACTTTTGAATCCTTGCCTAAATATTCGTCCTAAAAATACAAAAGTGAAATATGACACAATTATCAATTATTTTGTAAAATTTATATGACTATTTTCGATCAAATTTTTATGACACATGCTTTTAAAACTTATTTTCAAAAACATCTTGGACTCATTGATTCTTAAAATGATAAGTCCAAGGATTTATCATGGACAAGTTCTGTTGAGGATCCTGTTTTACAGAAAATTTGAATAAAAACAGAATGTGTTATGAATGAGTTATTCCAGTTGACCTGAGGTCAATCAGTGTAAACGATGTCATAGAACAATTGGTTCTTACTGTGACTTAATAACATAAGCATTGTGACATAGGAAATTTTCGGGAAAGTGTACAAATTCTAAAGTCTTCTATGGGACACAGATACTCTCAGGAATAATCATTGAAATGTTCTGCAGAGAACACTGTCCCTGTTTTTTATGATAATTCAAATAAAACAGATCACACTATAAAGGGACACAACTCCATCATCATATTATTTAACATATCATGCAAATATTGCTGAAAATGAATGGCAGATATTCTATCATTTAATTTGATCATTTCCCCTTTATTTAATTTTTTTATATTTGTTTTGTTCTTTTAACATTTCTTTAATAACATTACCATGGATACAGGCGGTTCATTTTCTAAGTTTCTGTAAGGTACATAGGCATTCCTGTGTGCCATGCCTAGTCCCAGTTTGGTTAACAGGGCAACAGAGTTTTTCTGAAAACAGAAACAATTTCAAAATATAAGGATTGACTCAATGGGCATCTAAAGACTTCAGTTATCAATCAATTCAGATCACATTAAAAACCATTCAAATATAATGGGGGAGATCCACACATTATCAGGTTATCATTATAAAATCATAGAGTATGCTAAAAAGGTTCAATCAAATCTAACAAGACATAACCTTGTTTCCAGGTTAAACTTTTTTAAAGAGTAGGTTCAATAAGGTCCTAAAATGGCCCCTACTTCTAGCTCAAAGGAGTAAATTCGGTAAGGACAAAAAAGAACCATGATGGATTTTTCCAATGTTCTTTTTACAATAAAAGGATGTTTAGATGCTGGATAATTTATCTGTTTCTAAAAAGTGATTTTGAACCAATATTTTAGCTAAAATTGCATGTTTTCTTTGGAAATGAGTTACAAAGGGTCTACTAAAAATGACTTACCTCCCCTATTTTGAGTTCTGTTGATTTCTTTTCCATATCATCTATCAGTACCACATTAGTTGTCTCCGAAACATGAGGAAACATTCCTGTGTTGGCTTGGTTCATGGTTGCCGTTGACAACAGTTTACACATCCATTTGACATCCATTACTATTGGACTGTCATCTTGATACACATAGAGTAACTTCCCCTGGAAAAAAAAAATCAGGAATGGCACAGTTACTTATACATAACAGAGAACAGATTTTTTGGTTAGCAAATTTTCCTTGATGGCAAATTTATGGTAGTCTAAATAACTTGTCTACACTATGGACCTCTTGTTTTCATTTTATGATCAATGTAAATATATGAGTTTATTAATTAACTACTCTGTTATTGGACTTAATATGATGAAAACTGCCTATGCAATATAAAAGTGTCAACTCGGCCAATACAGAATAACTCAGCCAATATTGATTTTTTTCTGTATTGGCCGAGTTCTGATCCGGCCAATACAGGATTTCGGAACGTCTCTAGTTTTTAGATCGAAAGTCATGATAAACACAAACTTAAAGTAAACAGTCGTTAAGAAGACGCAGTTTTCATTTACTCACCATAAACATGCCGAAACGTTCAGTGTGGCATACATTTCAGGCTGAAGACAGTCACATTCATTTGAAAAGCATTTTGTAAGCAGGCAATTGAATTATTTCAGGTTTGGGCAACGAGTAGTTTATCACAAAGTTAATTTCTTGTCGACCTCAGGTACAACCGATAATTTTACTGTTTACTTTCGCTTCTCATGTTTTGTAAACTGTCATTTATTTTTCAACCCGAACCAGGCATATGCATTGTGGAAGGGTGACAAATCTTGGGTCAGTTGCCTTATGGAAAGTTGTATCATTTTCAATCATATTCAACTCCTACATTTTTTTTTAAATAATTTTTTTCTGCATTAAACATGCAATGGCAGTACCTTTCCAATTACTATTTATGTGTTGCATCTAAATATGAACTGTAACACTTTATAGTGACTGGTAAGGGTAGAAAAATTCATCAGATGAGAAAATGTAGAAGATGCCTGGAAACAGCACCAGATCATTTGATATTGCAGCTTATAAACATGATAAATGGGAACTCAGATTTGGATACATGTAGTTCCACTTCAAGGTAAAAAATGTTTATCTCTTGTGGTATATAAAACAATGTTAACACTGTAGTTAATTAATAAAGGTATCATTACCATAGTAGCACATAGTCACCCCTTTTCCCTTTGCCAAACTGTTCAAAGCAAATGGGTTCCTGGATGATAACTCAAGTGAGTTTTTGAGTAGAACCATACACATTTATTAGTACAGTATTTAATTAACTACTGTAAATTCAGAAATTAATGCAAAATTTTTATTATTGTGAAGTATGAGACTGGATGAGCATCACAATAATATGAACTTGCATTCTGATATCTGATTCATTTATCTGTATGCAGATTTTCCAGAATTCACAATAATTAAATTTGCATTTTTGTCCATTTTCATAATATTGCAATAATAAATGCATGCAATAATTTATGAATTTACAGTATAACAATTACGCACCAAACTGGAATCTGGATAATAACTTTACACTGCTTTGGAAGTCAACTATATAAAAATAGGATGATGTGGTATGATTGTCGTATAGGTCACCATACAGCCTTCAACAATGAGCAAAACCCATAGTTGACATATTAGAACCTTTCATATATGGTATGTTACATATTGTTATCCTTGTACATCAACATCATTTTCAGTACAATACAGGTTTTCATTGTTCATACTTTGGTTCTTTCAATCAGCATACTGTTTGGTGGGCATCACTTTTGAATACTAATTTTGTCTTGTGTTTGTTTGGTTTTTTTTTTTTCAATGGTTGGGTGTCTCATTAATGTATTCTGTTTTTATTTATATATACTGTAAGTTCAGAAATTATTGCAAGCTTTTTATTTATGTGAATAAAGTAATTGGGTGAGTATTACAATAATAAGAACTTGCATTCTGATATAGGATACATGTATCTGTATGAAGATTTTCCTCATATCGCAATGATTAATTTAGAATTTTTGTTCATTATTCAAAAATCACAACAATTTTTGAATTTACACTACTGATTTATCCACTTACAAACAAATGTAAACATTCCATAGTTCTGGCTGTAGTGAGTGCAGCTCCCTCTAGTGAAAGAATACCACTTGGAGAGTTACCATCTCCTTTAAACATATTCATAGAAGTATCTGAGCATATATACTGGTACATGTGACTGGAAATTTCTTCATATTCTGGATACAGTGTAAAAGTCCTTTCTGCAGCACTAAGTATTTCTTCCAATAAGCCGTTGCTAAGCTATAAATAAAAAAAAAAATGTTTGGTATTCAAACTACAGGTTGAATTTTGATGAGTTTGATTAATGATATGAACAAACATAGATATCAAGGTACAGTTAACTCTCGTTGTCTCAAACTTGGTTGACTTGAAATTTCAGATTTTTGGAATACTTATGCATTGTTGTCATATTGAATTACACAAGGGGTCAGTTTAAGGGTGCATTCAACAGTTTTGAATTATTTGAACTTATTTCCAGAATAAAATATCAGTGAAAAGAAATCCCTGTTTATTTACATAATTGGTGAAAAAGTATCATGTTTTTTGTATTTTAAAGTAACAAGTAACATGAGTGATATATAAAATTTCAATTACTATCTGTGGAATGTTCAGAACAATTTTAAAAATTAGAATAGATAAACTGGTTATAAGTGGAGACAACTCTGAAAACATCCAGTTGTATTGGTAGGGAAAATAGAAAACTAGTTTGTAGCTATTGTAGCTCTTTCCAACAGAAATTGTATCTAAAGATAAATTTTTCACAAGACCAAGTAGAAATCTTTGTGATTCATGAGTTTTGATTATGTGAAACATGTTTGTAGTGCAATTGACTGCGACTGGAACCAAAGCAAATAAACACTTTAATAAATCCTTAAATTATCCTCTCCTTTCCAGCAATTCATTTATAAAAACTGTATTTTCTTCTCAAAGATTTACAAAGTTAGCACTTTAAATAGACCGATCAATGTCCGGTTCAAAATAGTTTACCTGTCACCTGAACAGGTGAATTTCAGCTGTTCGACAACTAATTAGCCTTGATTAAAATGAGAAGGTATTAAAGTAGGGGTTGTTTTGATAGTACTTAATGATCATGTCACTTTTATGACTGAAAATGTGTGGCTGTTAAAGGCAAAAGGTTGGGTCAAAAAGATCGCGAATTATGTTAAAATGACCATCTCTTAAGAAAGCCCTGAAAACTAAAAAGTAGATGACCGTTTCATGTTTTGCCCAGCCGGACTTTTACCGGACATTATACAAATGTCCGGAATATATGACCATTTTGGAAGCCTTGGTTTGCATTTTATTGATGGTAAACCATCGGAGTTATATTTCACATTCTGTGAAAGTAGTTTTATTCATGGGTATCAATTTTCCTGTTTGAGCAAAGGTTACATATTCATGGGTTCTTAAATTCATTGATTTTAGTTTTCTGAGGAAAAAACGAGTGAAGAATTTCAGGCCATCAGAAACGAAGATTCTTGAAAACAATCATATGTTGTTTTATAATGATTTGTGGGACATTGCAAAAGAAGGTGTTCATTTTCACTTACTTGTCTGTCTTTCATTATTGACAACATTCATTAAATTTTTAATAAAATAATTGCTTTCAGAAATAAGCTGATTCATCTATGCTTACAATTTGTCTCGATTGAGAAGTAAACATTTCAATTTTTGCACACGTGTTTGCATTAAGTGTTAACATTAATTAACCTGTGATCAAATGATCAACAGACTAACGATGATGAAAGGTGTTAATTGGGCCATAAACATGTCACTTAAAGAAGTATAATAGTAATAAACGGTATAAGGAAACAGTTACATAATAAAATGCTACAAAATTTAATGTACTTGGAATTGTAGAATTAATTTTAATGAAATAAAACAGCAAGGACATTATGAAATTATTAATTTTTTTTGTATGAGAATTATGAGGAGATAAAATGAACACTTCATCATCAAATAACATCACCAGAAGTCTGACCTTCATCGATCAAAATTAATTTTTCCTGGGAATTCAAAGGTTAAAAGTCGTACAGTTTAGGTTTTTTTACAAATAAAACTAGACATCATTGAGATGGGAGCCATCTCTGTGGGCCCCGCTGTAAATAACAAGTTACTATTTGACTATTAAAGATATTAGTGGTTGAATCTCTTAGAGCAGGTTACATGTGCTATTAAACAGTACACCGGATGCACTTTACCCTTAATTTTAGAAATATAATATAAAAGAAAAAGAAAACTTCTTGAAATAGACACAGCTTATTTCGCATTACTTGTCAAGCCAGAATTATGCCATTTAAATTGTTGGAACTTTGTACTGTATCTGTATTCACTAGATTGAATAGTTCTTGTGTTTACCTATAAAACAGTCCATTTTTAAAGTACAGTAAATATTTTTATCATGTTGAAATCTATACGTCAGTAGTCCTAGGCTCAACAAAAATACATCAGATTGAATTATTTGATTGGTTTAAATTTGCTGTGTTGCAATCTCCCTATCTTGGTTTATTTTATCTTTCAGAGTGATAACACAACATGTCCTGGTGGAGTAATATCTCCACATATAATTACTCACAAGAGAACAGAACTAAGCCATTTGTATGGATTGATGGAAAAAGACATAAAGATGAATTCTTCAGCAAATGTTAAGGATTACAATAACAATGATCAGCATCAGTTTTCATGTGGTAAAAAATTTGTATGGATAAGCTGATATGAAGCACTTTTTTAAGTTATTACATAGTCTCGTTATGTGCTGAGAGTGCTTTTATTCTATGTTTTTTATTTTAAGTGTTATATTTGGCCTAGGAAGTTGTACATAGATTATGACACATCCTCTAGTGTTGGTTAATATACATGTCAAGTATAAACTTTGAAATCATAACGGTTCTCAAGATATAGAGCAGACATGATCTGTACCATAGGACATGGGGTTGTCAACTGAAACCAAAGTTTTTGACCTTGACCTTTGACCTAGGAAGTTGTACATACATTATGACACACCCTCTGGTGTTGGTTAATATACATGTCAAGTATAAACTTTAACGGTTCTCAAGATACAGAGCAGACACGATCTTTACCATAGGACATGGGGTTTTCAACTGAAACCAAAGTTTTTTACCCTGAACTTTGACCTAGGAAGTTGTACAAACATTATGACACACCCTCTGGTGTTGGTTAATATACATGTCAAGTATAAAGTATGAAATTATAACGGTTCTCTAGATATAGAGCGGACACAATTTGTTACGGACGGACAGACTGATCACTATAGGGTGACCAACCACTAGGCGGGGCCCTAATGAGTAACACCCTGTTAGTGTGTTTGCTGATAATCGATGTATTCTCTAGACTATATGCCCATATCCATGTAGTCAAAACTACACGGTGATCTTTCCATGTCTTAAATTGGACAACAGTTGTTATATTTCGTTGGACACTTAAATTTGTGGATAAAGCCATCCACGAAAACCACGAAAATTTGTTGACCCACGAATAAAAGTACTTTCACAGTAACTGTAAGTGGGTCATTTGGTGGACTGCTGTGTTTATAATTCAAACATTTCAGATATAATGACTTAGGATTCTTATATCCAATTCAATTATTTTCAATAGTAAATAAAAACACAAAACATTCTTTGACTTTATCTTGAAATAAGAATGAAATAGCAATGAAAAATGAACTTTTAAAAATAAAAAACTGTTCCTTTGCTTTTTATTATTTTGCTGTGCACATACTGATACCCCATATCCTTTTTTTATATTTTTCTTTCAGATTTCCATGTAAACAAGGATCTAAATCACGGTAATTTATTGGTCAGCAAGAATTAAACTATTATCCAGGCACACTTATGTTGGAAGGCTTCTACAAGTAATATCTAGTTTTTTACCATCTTTGGAAACAAAACCACAACTCAAGGTCACGTATGTACATGCCACAAAATATTACATTATACAGACAACTGTTAAGTGAACCCTAACTTAAATAATTGGTCCAGTTTACACATCATCAATAATTTCTCAAAAAATGTGTTTCATACTAAAAAAAATTTAAAACAAGAATGTGTCCATAGTACAGGGATGCCCCACTCGCACTATCATTTTCTATGTTCAGTGGACCATGAAATTGGGGTAAAAACTCTAATTTGGCATTAAAATTAGAAAGATCATATCATAGGGAACATGTGTACTAAGTTTTGAGTTCATTGGACTTCAACTTCATAAAAAACTACCTTAACCAAAAACTTTAACCTGAAGCAGGACAGACGGACGGACGGACGGACGAACGAACGGACGCACAGACCAGAAAACATAATGCCCCCACTACTATCGTAAATGGGGCATAAAAACATATCTGGCTAAATTCTGATAACTTTCTAGACAAAAAATCACCTTATCTCTTTTGATTTCTCTGGCTAATTGATGGTAACCTTTCTTAGGAGTTTTCATTTCTTTCATCACTACCCAGTACTCCATCATGGCCTCTACAAACTTCAGAAAAACTGCCCCTACAGATGACATTTTCTTCAGGTTTTCCACAATCAAGTTACGAGATTTATCAGTCAGTATTGCTGAATAAAACAAACATATTTAATTATTTGTATACTAGATGAATGAATAAATAAAGAAATAGTTTATTGGAGTCAACCTAAAAATATACAATGTAACGTACATTTAGTATTACATAATGATTTAGCCAATCAAATAGGCTTATGATGCACTATCCTGTTTTAACTTTATAAATAACACACATAACAAGGTCATGTTTTTCTCTGGCTGTTAAGAGTGCCGTTAGTTTTCTTGTTTGGATTATTTTTACATTTGTCATTTTGGGGCCTTTTATAGCTGACTATGCTGTATGGGTTTTGCTCATTGTTGAAGGCCGTACAGTGACCTAAAGTTGTTAACTTCTATGTCATTTGGTCTTTTGTGGTGAGTTGTCTCATTGGCAATCATACCACATCTTCTTATTTTTATAGAAGAAAATGAGTTCAAATTATATCATGTAAATATAGAAATGTTATAGTGTCTTAACTTTGATATTTGCAACATACAGTTTAGAAAGATATAGGAAAGCCAATTTTATAGTAGAGCATTCTGAAATAAAGTTTGACACAACATAAAAATATGGATATAAGCAATTATAGGTCTCTGTATGGCCTTCAACAATGAGAAAAACCAATATAGATAGTTCCTGTACTATGTATTATTAAGGGTTAATATTCTGATTATTGTTTATAAACCCTGTATGGAAGATAGGTATTTGTTCATTTATTTTCAATGTAATATATCTTAAAATTACTTAAGAATTGAATGCTTCTTTTTGTAAATTTATTGGGGTGTAAAAGCGTTGACCGAAGTACATTTTGTATGAAGCGCAGAAGCGCTTCATTTTAAACATGTGCGCACGGTCAACGCTTTTACAACCCTATAAAATTACTAAAAGAAGCATTCAATACTTATAATTACATTTTTTTGCTAGGATCATGAAAACACGTTTTCTATCAAGTTTTTCTTTTATTTACCTGTGCACTTTATTGTGGAAGCTTGTGTCACCATGAATGTTACATTTCATTTTGAAATGAAGGTTAATTTCAGTATGAAGCGAGGTTGCTGTTAGCCAATCAAAATAACGTATTATAATGAAACATACATGTAATGTAATTATTGTTTAATTAATACTATATGCATATATATATATATATGTATAAAGTGTCTAGAAAATCAACTTAACAATGTTAGAGTAGATATGATCCTTTACTTCCTCCACGACCGGGGCTGGAATCTGTACTTACTGTAAGTACAGGTTCCAGCCCGGTTGGGGAGGAAGTAAAGAATCAGATTTACTCTAACATTGTTAGGTTGATTTTCTAGGCACTTCATAAATGTTCTAACGCCTGGTATTTCTTAATCATGAGAAATCCGATGGACAAGGTATAATTTACAGTTGTCACTACACATAGGCAGACATATATATATCAGTCTAAAGAATTGCACAACGGTACTAATATAAGGTGGTAATATACGAAGATGATGTTATAAAATCCTGTTGACAAATATTTCGGCTTAACAAAAAGCCTTCGTCAGTGTCGGATATATATATATATATCAGTGTATCAGTGTACGATATATATATATATAAACAAGTCTAATATATATATATATATATATATATATATATATATATATATATATATATAGATTGCCTAACAATGTAATTTTAACACACTATTTAGTATGTAAATATAAGAATGTTTAAAATATTTACAAAATGATGAAAATAAACGCAATATTTTGCTAGACTAACTAGCTTTATCAAGCGTGCATCTATCCAGGTGAAATCGGATGTAGATGATAAGAAACTTTTGCAGCTCAATGTATATGTTGAACCTGAATTTAGCTGCCTTGAAAATAATACATAGTTTGGATGAAGTTCAAGATTTTTACAAAATTTGTAGTTGAAGTTAGCAACGTCCATTGGCCAATATTACAGGATGAAAAGGACGATGCTGTGTACTAAATTATTCTTTATCTTTCCTGTATCTTTTCTCATCTTTTTCGTTAAGACCATCAGGTTCTAAAGTGTGGAGTTGGTGGATCCAAAAATTTTCTCTTCTCCTTCTCGCCGTGGTGTCCCACTCGGTGTTGACTTCTATGATTTGGAAAGTAACATTATCAAAAGAATGTTTCGTTGAACGAAGATGTCTTGTGAGAGGACAGTTTTTGTTGGTGTTGTACCATGAACGATGGTTATTGAGCCGAATATTAAATTTGTCCATTGTTTCTCCCACATACTGAATGCCACAAGTGTCACATGTTAATATATAAATTGAGTTCTCCGTTTTACAGTTGGAATTTGAGTAGATGGTATAATTTTGTTTAGTAACGGAGCTGATGAAAGAACTGCTTGAATTGGCAGCTTTACAACACAAGCAGTTCCTTCGACCACATTGTTTGTAGCAACCAGGAGATGGAGTAGGCTGCTTTGCTAATACAGATGTCACTAATTTGTCACGGATGTTTTTAGGTCTTCTGAAGGCCATGACTGGTGGTGAGGAAAATACTTTTTTAAGATTTGAATCATTTTCTATAATTTTCCAATGCTTCTGAACAATGGAAGACACATTTTTAAAATCAGGATGGTAAGTGAGTACAAGGGGTGTTCTGTTAGCTGCTTTATTCTTATCTTTGTATTCTAGACATAAAACGGGCAATCCAGGTCGACCAATTGTTTCAGCAAATAGTCACCCAACTGAAAAGATATCAGAATTTGTAGACCATCATCTAAGACCTCATGTGAAAGAACTACCCTCTACACGTCCATGGATGCAAGTATAGTATTGCTTGGTAGAGGATTGAGGCTTTCCATTTTCTTTAGATAATCAGTCGTATCTTGAATGTAAGAGGGTAGTTCTTTCACATGAGGTCTTAGATGATGGTCTACAAATTCTGATATCTTTTCAGTTGGGTGACTATTTGCTGAAACAATTGGTCGACCTGGATTGCCCGTTTTATGTCTAGAATACAAAGATAAGAATAAAGCAGCTAACAGAACACCCCTTGTACTCACTTACCATCCTGATTTTAAAAATGTGTCTTCCATTGTTCAGAAGCATTGGAAAATTATAGAAAATGATTCAAATCTTAAAAAAGTATTTTCCTCACCACCAGTCATGGCCTTCAGAAGACCTAAAAACATCCGTGACAAATTAGTGACATCTGTATTAGCAAAGCAGCCTACTCCATCTCCTGGTTGCTACAAACAATGTGGTCGAAGGAACTGCTTGTGTTGTAAAGCTGCCAATTCAAGCAGTTCTTTCATCAGCTCCGTTACTAAACAAAATTATACCATCTACTCAAATTCCAACTGTAAAACGGAGAACTCAATTTATATATTAACATGTGACACTTGTGGCATTCAGTATGTGGGAGAAACAATGGACAAATTTAATATTCGGCTCAATAACCATCGTTCATGGTACAACACCAACAAAAACTGTCCTCTCACAAGACATCTTCGTTCAACGAAACATTCTTTTGATAATGTTACTTTCCAAATCATAGAAGTCAACACCGAGTGGGACACCACGGCGAGAAGGAGAAGAGAAAATTTTTGGATCCACCAACTCCACACTTTAGAACCTGATGGTCTTAACGAAAAAGATGAGAAAAGATACAGGAAAGATAAAGAATAATTTAGTACACAGCATCGTCCTTTTCATCCTGTAATATTGGCCAATGGACGTTGCTAACTTCAACTACAAATTTTGTAAAAATCTTGAACTTCATCCAAACTATGTATTATTTTCAAGGCAGCTAAATTCAGGTTCAACATATACATTGAGCTGCAAAAGTTTCTTATCATCTACATCCGATTTCACCTGGATAGATGCACGCTTGATAAAGCTAGTTAGTCTAGCGAAATATTGCGTTTATTTTCATCATTTTGTAAATATTTTAAACATTCTTATATTTACATACTAAATAGTGTGTTAAAATTACATTGTTAGGCAATCTATAATTTTATTTGTGTAATTGAATTAATCTCTGTACTGATTAATCCACACTCCCATAGATTTGTATGTCATGTGCTGCTATTTATAGGCACTTATATATATATATATACACATATATATAATTCGTCTAAACAACAGCCCAACAATGTTAGATCCGTAAATTTGCTTCCACAAATTTACAGATCTTACATTGTTGGGCTGTTGTTTAGACGAATTATATATACAGAATGTATTTTCAGCCTTGTATCACCATCACTGCTGGTGATCCAATGGATAAAATCTGTTGTAGAGTCGTCACTGGTTCAGACGTACTTATATATATATATATATATGTCTAAACATGTGACAACTTTATGACAATCATTCTCCATCGGATAACACATGGTTATATAGGGCTTACACCATAGTATATGTATAATTAGTCTCAAATTTAGCCCAACAATGTTAGATCTTCAAATCCCGCTGAGGAAAGAACAAAAATTTGCAAACACATAATATATATCCTGGGAAACAGGCTCTTTAATTGGATTGAATTCGTAATCATATTTGTAATCGTACTTAAATTATCAACAGACTGTGTCATCATTCAACTTACCATTAACAGCATTGTATTTCTGTTGATTAATGGTAGATACATCAAAATCTAGAAGTGATTTTAGGAAGTAACTATTGCCCATCATTGTCTTAGCAGCACTCCACGAGGTGTCCTTTTCACCCTTCAGAATCAAAATGCATGCACATACATCCAGTACAGGCTGTGGTGGATTATAAAATGCTCTGCAATTAAAAAAAAATGAAAATGATAATTAGTTCTAAATGCAGTCTCAATTTTTTTGGAAAGAAATTAAGTTGAACAACATAACTGATAGGGTTGTTCTAGACATATTTTGTGAATGAATTGCATTTTGAAAATAATCCTTAAAAAATATTTTAAAGAATTCTTTTATTTTTGATTTAAGTAAAAGAACTAAACATTGCACTTTTGTACATCTAAATCATCAAATCTGATTTAAGCAATGTTTTCCAAACCTCTTCTTTTGCAAGATTAACCCTCACCTACTAAATGCATGCAGAAATTTCCTGAATTTACAATAACTAATTGCTCTTGCAAATTAATTCTTTTGTTAAATTCAAAAATAATATTTTTTGTAATGTTTTTATCATTAGCAAAAATTGTGAGAGATAGGTTTCTCAAGAATAAAACCTAGATTTTCATACATTTATAGCTTTATTTTAAAGCAGCATTTCCTGAAATCATAAAAATCAATCTTGTAAAATTTGTCATTTGTTCAAAAATCATAATAAAATAATTACTCTTGCAAATAAATTATTTTGTGAAAATCATAAATATTATTTTTGTATTGTAAATTAATACCACATCTGAAAAAGTGAAACCTGTTTAAACCTAACAAACATCAAGCATGAACTCTTGTAAAGGACACACACATATATTTTCTCAAGTAATCCAACATGTGTCAACATGTCATAGCCAAACAAAATCTTCAGTCTTTTGATTTAGTTGGAACAGATTTCACTGTATAATATTTTAACATGGATTGTTTTCAAATCCGTTTCAAGCATACCAATCTCAATTAATAAATAAATGGAGAATGAGTCCATGGGACACAGATGATGCCCCTGCTTGCCTTTCTATTTTTTTTAATTTTTTTTCTATTCTACCATATAGTGACCGCCTTCAACAAATTGAAGATTATGTCACAGGAGGAAACTTACAACAAGACATAGATTGATATATATACAATTTTTAAAAAATACGAAAAAATGAAAAAATGCTTTGTATAATTAAGTATGATGTAATAGTTGAGTTAATATTGATGCTTTGAAATTGAAGATTTGAAAGAGTCTACTGAAGTGCAATTTACAATGTTATCCAGTAGTTTGTTCAATTCGGTAATAGTTCTTGGAAAATAGGATTCTTTTCTGTACTGTGTTTTGCAGGATGGAATTTGGAAGCTGTTCGAATTTGAATGTCTTGTTTGTCTTTTTTGTGGGATTAATTTATTATTTTTAGGTATTGCAACCTTTTCGTGTTCAATTTTATAGAGCATTACCAATCTTGAGTCTTTTCCTCTGTCAGAGAGGCTGCGCCATTCAAGATTTTGTAACATGTTAAAAACGCTTGAGGTGTTTCTGTATTTGTTGGTAACAAGACGCGCAGCCCTCCTTTGAACTTTTTCAATGCTATCTATGTCTTGTTGTAAGTATGGATCCCAAACAGAGCAAGCATACTCTAGTGATGGTCTTACTAGGGACTTATATGCTTGCTCTTTAATTGATGTTGAGCTTATGTTCAGGTTCCTCCTTAGAAAGCCTAGGGTGCTATTAGCTTTCTTGCATATGTTGTTTATGTGCACATCCCATTTAAGGTTGGAACTGATGGTAACCCCCAGATATTTTGCTGTTGTTACATGTTCTAATGAGTGATTGTGTAATGTGTAGTTAAATGTGATTGGTTTTTTATTTCTGGTGACTGAAATTACATTACACTTATCTGGGTGGAATGCCATTTTCCACATAGTTTCCCACAATGCCAGTTTGTCAAGATCTTTTTGTAATGTGGATGCATCGGAATTTGATTTTATTGCCAAATAAACTATTGTGTCGTCTGGAAATAAACGTACTGTAGATGTTAGACCAGTTGGAATGTCGTTAATATAATACAGGAAGAGACTTGGTCCAAGAACTGACCCCTGTGGAACCCCTGACTCAACTGCAACATACTCAGATTTTTCCCCCTCTAGAACTACTGCCTGTTTACGATTGCTTAGAAAATTTTGTATCCAGTAATTTAATTCCCCCTGTATCCCGTAATGGTGAAGCTTATTAGTTAGAAGAGAATGTGAAACTTTATCGAATGCTTTAGAAAAATCCATGACCAAAATATCTGTTTGTTTACCGTTTTCCATGTTAAGTGAGACATTATCTATAAATTCAAGTAGTTGTGTTTCGCAGGATCGACCTCTGCGAAATCCATGCTGTAGGGGATATAAAATGTTGTGATTATCTGCATGTGTCATAATGTGTTTAACTACTATGTGTTCTAAAAGTTTGCAACAAATACATGTGAGAGATATAGGGCGGTAGTTTTCAGGGTTATATTTTTGGCCTTTTTTGTATACAGGAGAGACATGGGCAGTTTTCCAGTCATCTGGAACAACACCTGTTTTAACTGACTTCTCAAAGATAATGGTAAGTATTGGTGCAATTTCATGTAAAAGTTCTTTTAAAAATCTTGGTTCAATTTCGTCTGGTCCTGCTGCTTTGTTAGGATTTAAGTTATGTAAAAGTTTTTGTATACCTTCTGTTTTTATGATTAATTTTGTTATGGGTGGAAAAAGAGTATTCTGTGGCATGTTACACTGTTTGACAAATTCTTTATGGGAGATATTTGATGCTGGTGTGAATACAGACTGGAATTGTGCGTTAAGTGCCCAAGTTTTTTGTAGTGGATCAGTTAAGAGTTTGCCATCTTGTTTAATTTCAGTAATACCACTATAATCAGTTTTTTTTATGTTTAATGTAGGTCCAAAATTTTTTCATAGTGCCAAAATTTGTTCCATCTTGTGGTGGTAATATGATGCTTTCAATGTATTCCCAGTATGATTTTTGTATACATTTCTGTACCTGATGTTTAACCTCTTTGTATTTTTTAGCAAGAGATGCATTCCCTGATTTTTTTGATTTTTTATAAAGTCTATCTCTTTTTCTAATGAGCCGTTTTGTTTCCATTGTGATCCATGGGTGATCGTCCTTTGTTTTTGCTGATTTATGTGGGATGTGATCTTTCACTGCTTTTGTTATTGTTGTTTTAAAACAGTTCCACATTTCATTTACACAAAGATGTTGTAAGTTATAAAGAGATATAACTTTAGAACGGTATAAGTGACGCCACCCAAATTTGAACTTGATCTGTGTTTTGTGGTAATAAGCATTGTGTATAAGTTTCATAACATTTAGTTAAGGCAATCTAAAGTTAGAGAGCGGAAACTAATTTTGGGATGTACGGACGGACGAAGGTACGGATAAGGGCAACACTGAATATGGTTTTGTATGTATATCAAGGCTATAGAATCATACCTAATCTCTGAAATGCTTGCTTTAGATATATCCTCTAAACCAGATCTAGCAGCCTCTACAGTTGGAATAACCTTTGCTAAAAGTTCTTCCATTTCCTTCTGCAATATACAGTGATTGAATTAATTGTCGTTTTATTTGACACTATGACTAGTCTGTTGTCAAAAGCCAGTTGCTGACATTTTATGAGAACAAAGCTCAGAAATATATAGCCTAATGGTCAAAGACAAGTATGTGTAACTAAATAATTAATGAGGGGCCTGATGGGTTATTTCTCGTTCTTTGTGATCGGCGCATTTTCACTATCGTGATCCGTTTTTCTACAGATTTATTTTTTTTTTTTATATTTTCGTAATCCGTGATCATGGAAATTTATTTTCTGTGAATCGTGATTGACAAAAAAATCAACTCGTGAATCGTGAAGAGACCCCCCCCCCCATCAGGCCCCTCATTAATACACCAAGTACTTTATGCAGTAACACAAAAGTTGCCTAAAAATACAGCTGATAAATTCACTTCATTTTTATCTTGAAGTATTTGATTTTGTCTGATTTGATTTACACAGGTAAATGATTTGATTTAGACAGGTAAATTATTTTATTTGGACAGGTAAGTTGTTTTATTAAGACTGATAAATGATTTGATTAAGACAAGTAAATTATTTGATTTACACAGGTAAATTATTTGATGTAGACAGGTTAATGATTTGATTTAGACAGGTAAATGGAGTGCTTTAGAAATTTGGAAACAGCGTACAAGATATATGTGGGGGGAATGACATATACTTTTCTTAGTAAAGATCAAGTTACTGATTTTAAAGTCATTAAGAATTTTTTTCCTGTGTCTTAACTATATGGGTATTGTAGTCCTATCCTCACAGTTAGATAAAATTATAATCAAATAGAAGATTGAACCTTTATAACAAACTGATCAATTTATAAGATTTATAAGATGAATATGCCTCCTTTTGATGGCTTTAACATTTTAAGTTCTTTTGTCTTCTGTTAAAAATCCTACATCAGATCTAAGATCTACTTCTACATACCTGAGTTTTACCACTGCTAGCTGTCCTGTTTTGACTTCCTATGACTTTTGTAATATTTTGACCTTTGACAGAGGTCAAAAATGTAATATTGGGTTCCTGTGTCTCCATCATTTCTATCAATTCCTTTGTGTATGTGAAGTTACTCTGGTCTATCTTTGTAATAGGTGACTTCTCAGTTGTTTTTTGTTCCAATCTTAAAAAATATTAAATTATTTAATCATATTTTTAATTGGTCAATGTCATATTGCAATATTGAAGGGTTTCTCATAAATTTTGAATGATGACCTTTCTCATTTCAAAGGTTTGAGGTCAGTCAACAGAAATCTTGCCAAGTACAACTTTATCAATATTCAGCATTATAATATAATTTTTTCCTCTTGGATAACTATTTTGGCTCGAGTCGTTATTTATATTCCTGTTTTTTTCTACTTGCAAAGGTCCCGAAAATAAATCATTCTCACTAATATAAGTTAGTTTACAGTATATATCTTTAAAAGGCTTTCAACATTAAACTTTTTCTACTATTTCACTTGTTCAAATCATATTGACTAGCATTTCAACTTACAACTGCTTTTTCTGTCGAATAAGTTTATCTTTTGCTGTTTTCAACATAATTTGGAATGCAGCCAAATGTTGATCGACCTTCGTCTTGTCATCTTTCATTAATGCTACAAACAGCACACATGCCCTTGAAACCTATAGAAATAAGTTACTAATAATAGTCAAAATCAATTCATCAAATAAAAAAAAAGTTAACAAAGCTTCTTGGTCAGGCATTAATTTACAATTCAAGTAAAAATAGGTACCAGTATTTACTTACATCTACTAATTATAAAATCTACTTACATCTACAGGTGAATTTAACAAATAACCAGCTGACAGAGTTGTACAAAGAGCTCATAATATTGCCTATTACAAAAGAGTTTGCACTAGATTTAATAAATAGCATTATTGAAGAAAACTGTATGTAAACATTTCATAATAACTCAAGAAAGTATACTTGAGCTATTAAGAGACATGAGTCAAACACACATTGCTTACATAGGCTTTGCCTGTTGCTCAATCCAATTCAATTTATTTGAATAAAATACTGTTTAAACTAAACATTGCCACAAGCCAGGTTCAAACTCACTACCTCAAGAGTTGACATGTTAGTGATCACAGTAGATGAACTACTGTAAATTCAGAAATTATTGTGTGCATTTATTATTGCGATTTTTGAAGAATGGACAAAAATGCAAGATTAATTATTGCGATGTCAGGAAAATCTGCATACTGATATATGTATAAGATATCAGAATGCGAGTTCTTATTATTGCGATACTAATCCTAGTCGCATTATTTGCATTAATAAAAACCTCGCAATAATTTACAGTACTTATCCCACTTGGCCACCAAGGTCTGAATGTAGTACCCTATGCTTCTGTACACTTGCATTGAAACTCATCACCACATAGGTTAATACATACATGAGAAGACCAGGGCCCTCAGTCAATTAACTTTACTCAGTACTACTACTACTCAGAATGCAAAATTTGTGCTTGAAATGGCAAATCCAGTTTTTTATTGGTTTATTTCTAAGTCTGAGTATAATTATTGTGCTCGAAAGTTTTATGACCGCAAGGCCAAACATATGTTGGGTAAAACAGGCAATTGATTCTATAGCAATAATAACCTTCCCAAAACTTACCTTTGACAAGACTTGACAATATACAGAAAACAACCAAGAAACAATGTCATCCACAGATTTTTTCTCATCAGGTTCATAAGTTACCATGACAACTGATCTCTTAGACACAAATCTATCGATCATACCCTGTAGATTAAATAAAAGCATTTTTATAAATTACAAATAATAGAAGTAAAAATGTGTTCTCTTTATAGTAAAAAATTAGTTATTTCAAAACACATTCATGTCTGGCAAATACCATTTAAAAGTTCACAACAAGCTATAATTTTGAGGCTTATAAAATAAGTATTCATGTCTATCTCTTATCAGTAATTACCTCTTCAAATTCAATGATATTAGCTGTAATGTCTGTTTTTTCAAATTTAAATCCATCTTTAAATGACACAGATAAATTACTTGTCTCACTGGAAAACATTGGCATTATACTAGTTGTAGAGTTCTCAGGACGAATCACACAAACTTTTATTACATTCTTATCGTCTGGTTTCTTGAAAGATGGTTCTACAAAACAAATATGTAACACGTATGACTAAATTTTAAAACCACTTCTTAAAACTTCATATATTTATTGATTGTAAAGGACTTTCTATGAGATATAGCTAATTCAAGCTGCCATGACATTAAACAAATATTTATAAAAAAAACTCCATATTTTATACTGGATTTTTACTACAGCAATAAAACTTAGAAAAGAGAAAGAGACAGTATGAGAGAACTCTGTAAATTTTCCCAAAGCATCCTCGAAGAAGTTCTTTTCTCATGTATCTACTTGAGATACTGTGGATTCATTTATTTTTGCTGGTACTTATTTTCAGGGATTAAGCAAAATTGTATTCTCGTGGATGTTTGATTTCGTTGTTTTACAGAAGTATGCATATATGCCTATAGAAAAAGTGTAATTTTTTTTCAAACATTTATAAAATATGAATATCTTAATAATATTTTGCTATTAGCAGTCACTTTGGTTCAATTTTGTTAAAACAAGCTGAAAACATCCCTTATCTGTTATTTGCTTCCAAGTCAATAATTTAACCACCTGTGAATCCGTATTCATGCAACCTCAAAATTAAACCTTAGCTGGAGATGGGTTATGCATGTGCAAAGTGTGTTCGGTTATTAAAAAGGAAACAATGTCAATATTGTATAAGTGGAACAAGGGAGTCACCAGGAAAAACCATTTAGTTGACTGATTCGTCCCACAAAAAAATCAAACATGAAAGTTAAAAGGACGATTTACATATTATTTTAATCTATAACATAAAATCAGACCTAGAAGAATTTTTGTAATTTGTATAAATTGCATTTTAGTATGTTATAAATCAAATATTAGAATGTAAGTCAAATCGGTGAACATAAATGCCCCTTTAAAATCCACTTAACATTAAATTGCTACAAGTGGAATCATACTTGAATATATAATAACTCCTTAAAAATTATTAAAGTTTTGACAAAAATGATATCTGTATTGGTATTGCTAAAAATTGTGTAATGGAAAAAAGAAAAACATGTATGACTGTGAACTGATGACCGTGAACTGATGACATACATACATACTACTTTAAATTCAGAAATTATTGCATTTTTTTAAGATAGGACAAGGAATGTATCGATCTGATGAGTTAAGCCCTTTTCAACTGATTTTTATAGTTTGTTCTTATGATTTACTGTTAAACCATTGTCCAAGGTTAGGGGGAGGGTTCGGCGCCAGCAAACATGTTTAACACCACATCATTCTGTATGTCCCAAGTCAGAAGCCTGTAATTCAGTGGTTTATAGCTTTTATAGCTTACTATGCGGTATGGGTTTTGCTTATTGTTGAAGGCTGTACAGTGTCTCTTTTACCGACCATGCGAGGGCTTTATAGCCATGCAGTCAAGGTCGTTAAAAACCCCCATTAGTTAAAGTCTCTGGTGGAAAGTTGTCTCATTGGCAATCATACCATATCTTTTTATTTTCATATAAGAATGCAAGATTAATTATTGCCATTTCAGTAAATGCTGCATACAAATAGTGCTGTCAAAATTTAAAATGTGAGTTTGTCACGCCTATTCCGTAGCAATTTCCCCATAATAAAAACATTGCAAAAATTTCTTAATTTACAGTATATTAACAGTAGAACACATACTAGGAGATTTTCATTAAGTAAAAGTCAACAAAACAGAAGCATAAAGTAACCAGAAATAAACACATCATGGTGACTACCTTTCATTTTATCTAAACCCCCATACTGTTGTATGAACCCTTCACTAGGAGAGACGAGTGGACATCCAGCTGTATCAACCTCTTTACCAACAATTTGACAAGGTAGAATCATTACTCCTGTGGCAGTTAGATCTACTGATTTCAGGTCCCAACAGTTTTCTAACAGATTGAATACACCCGTCTCTGTCACTTTTATACATCCTGCTAATGAAACCTGTGGAAAAAATATTTATAATGATAAAAAGAAGGTATTATGATTGATTGTTGGTGTTTAACACCACTTTCAGCACTATTGGCTATATGTTGGCAGTCAGTTTTTATTGATGGAGGAAATTTGGAGTGTACAGAGAGAGCCATTCACCCTCTGCAGGAAAACTGATAATCCTAGTCAATTAAATTTGGGTTTGAACTCACGACTTCAGTGTTGATATGCCAGTGAAACAGAAGACAGACTATTTAGACCACTCAGTCACATAGGCCCCTGAGGTATTATAGAAAACAAGGTGGAATTTGGTAACTCATTATGTTCAGACAATTTGCGCAACATCATTAAATGAAAAATTAACAGTATAATAAAGGGATGTGCTATTTTTACCTCTTAAACAATTGAATAGAAACATTTTAGTATGAATAAAAGGAAATGAAGAGTGTAATGTCAATGCAATGGCAACAAAACGTCAATAAACTGCTTCGCTGAGTGCAGCTGGATACCCCCGCAGAGGTCCAACCCTGAACAGTTGGGGCAAAAATGGACACAATATTCAAGCTTGATACAGGTCTGAATTTGGATTGTAATTAAATATTTGACATATTATAGGTTTCTGAATAAATGTAGTCAAAGAACTTGAAATTGAATATATGAATTGAATTTATATTCAATTAAAGATTTCTTGCTGTTGTGCAATACACTGTGCTGTTGCGCAATACTTAGTAAATCTGTTGTCAGACTGTAAATAAATAAAGTTCAATTAATTCTCAATGTCATATTAGAAATTTATGAAAATGTAAAGGGAGCTTAAATCAATAGATAAACAATTCACCAAAGTTTCATGAGAATTGCTGACAGCATTTTTGAGTTATTGACCGAAAACTGGAAAATCCCCCCTTTTTTAATGAATAAAACCCCATAACTCAGAAATGATAAATGAAAAATTTATAAAATTCCAAACGGAGCTTACATCAATAGATATAAACAATTCACCAAAGTTTCAAAAGAACTGCTGAAAGCATTTTTGATTTTTTGTCCGAAAACTGGAAAATCCCCCTTTTTTTATGAATAAAACCCTGTAACTCGGAAACGTAAAATCTAAAATATATAAAAATGAAAAGGGAGCTCATGTCAACAGATATAAACAATTCACCACAATTTCTTGCAAGTTGGTGAAAGCATTCTTGAGTTATTGTCTGAAAACTGGAAAATCCCCCTTTTTTTAATGAATAAAACCCCATAACTCGGAAACGTAAAATCTAAAATTTATAAAAAACGAAAGGGAGCTCACGTCAATAAATATAAACAATTCAAGTTTTATGCAAATTGGTTAAAGCGGTTTTGAGTTAATGTCCGACATGATGACGACAGACGGACGGACAGAGGTATACCATAATATGTCCCGTAAACAGGCGTATAAAAACGTAAACTGTGGGTTGTTAGCATGGTATCCAGTCATTTTGTACCATAACCATTTTGTACCATTGCCATGGAAAAAATGCTGTATCATTTCACACATTATGAAAATTGAACTTTACCAAATCATAACTTGGTTATACTTGGTACATGAAAAATATTCAGTTTTAAATGGGAATATTAGTTATGAAATCTATTTTATGACAATTTTGTTTTAATAGGCAATTTCTCTTATGCTGACTCAGTTCATTTTAATAAATGTTTTATCTTTTATATATATCTAGTGTTTTATGTAAATGGTTTAGTGAGGAAATGTTTGTATTTATATAATGAAATGTATAAAATATTATATATACTTGTATAGATTTTAAAATTATGTAAAGCATACTGTACATAATAATTCTAATAGTCTCTCAAAATTCTTTTTAGAGTACGTGGTACTAGTATATGTCTATTTCTTAAGCTTATATATATGTTTTTTTATTGTCAGTTTTATATATGTATGTTAATGTTTATGTTATCATGTGACATGTGGTGAGACTCTAATAAAATATTGAATCTGAATCTATATCATTTATCTATCAAACAATATTTAAGATGATATGGTACAAAATGGTATACATTATAATCTTCAATATGGTACAAAATGGTTATGGTACAAAATGGGTGGTACAAAATGGTTATGGTACAAAATGACTATGATTCGTAAGCATCTGTCACAAGTCAAAATTGAAATCTCATTGATTCAATACTTTGCAATAAAATCTAATGATTAGTGTTGTAAACTTTACATCATCAAGTAGCAAATACTCCTTGTAAAATTTTATGAAAAGTTGAATTAAGTCTGTAAAAAGCCTCATATTGCAAAATTTAATTAAAATCAAATTGATACAAATTTACCTCCTTTAGTTTAGGAAAACATTGTGACATCCATTTTATTCCAACATCTGTTAGCTGATTACATCCAGTCAGAACTATTCCAATAACAAACTTATATCCTGGTAACTCAGTCTTTTCAAGGAGGCAACCAAAAACAGCATCAGTCAAGTGTTCTAAACCAGTCCAGTTTAAACGGACTGGTTCATTTTCCTTTACATCTTTCAATTTATTATATAAATCCTGAAATGTATATCATGAGATTTTGAAATCATAGGGCATTATGGGATATCTGTCTCAAATATTTCTGATTTTCAAAAGTCTATCTTTTATCTTTCTTTTTAAAAGCCATAAAATTTCTTGTATTTGAAATAAACTTCAAAAAGCTGCTTATAGAACCCGAGATCTTTCCATAAATATATGACCATTACCTTACTCATGAAGATGCTTTGCCAACTTAGGATGTCCTTTTATAACTTGGTATAGGCAGAGACATTTATAGTGTAGAATAGATGTCTCTGTTATACAGTATTTGTTTTGCTCATTATTGAAGGCTGTAACATGAACTATAGTTGCTTACTTCTACTTCATAAGGTCTCCAGTGGAAAGTTATCTTATTGGCAATCATATCACATCATCTTATTTTTGCATTATACATGTACATGTTCTAAGATTTATGTCAAATATCTTTTTTGGTAGGACTGTTGTTTATATTTGAGTTTACCAAAAAGTGCATACATCCAGTCTGCACCAAAATATTTTCCTACTACTAGTCTGAAGACCAATATTCTGAAAATTTTCTTATATTTATAAACAAATGTTTGCCAATACTTACAAGCCCGAATAAAATTCTACTAATCTGGGGCATCAGACTAGTGGCTATAATGTTGCATACTTACATCAGAACATATTTTGCTAGGTTTTTTTATTTCGGGTAATAGGTAAACAATGATTTTAAACATTCAATGAAGTACAAATTTTTTATAGGCTTGTATGCAGCCTTTGGCAAAACCATGTAATGAAATATATTAATATAATTTTCATCACAAGGAAAATTTGTATCCATGTAAATAAATGAATCCCTGTATATAACCATTGTTTTAAGGCCATTTAAAAAACTTCATCTATAAATATTTATAATTAGCAAATAAATATTCCTGGTAACAGTATTTTACCTCAACAAATGCTATGTAGTTAGTAGATAAGCTCTTCCATGGGAAAACTGATTTCTCCAAAGTTTTAAGTGTCTTTTCTAACGTTACAGATGATATCTTCTTTACAAGACTTCCTTGACTACTTGTATTAGCTGCAGTATAATCATTTTCAATGGTCTTCACAGATTTCAAAGCTTTCCCAAAACTCAGAACATTTTCAACGGAATTAGTGTTGGACAGGTCACTGAAATGTCATATTAAAAAAGTACTTACAAACATGTTTTAGCTTTATCTCTATACTAATTAAGACATCATTTCAACATGCATATTACTGTAAATTCAGAAATTGCATGCATTTATTATTGCAACTTTTTAAGACTTGACAAAAATGCGAGATTAAATGTTGTGATGTCAGGGAAATCTACATACAGATATATGTATAAGATATCAGAATGCAAGTTCTTATTATTGAGATACTCACCTAGTTGCAATATTCACATTAATAAAAACCTCACAATAATTTCTGAATTTACAGTAAACTGGTAAAGAACCTTTTCTTCTGCCTAACTAGTTATGTGTAATTACTAATTAACTTAAATTACTTTTATCTATTTTTTTAGCTTTTCAACCTTTTAGCTCTGAGCATATCAGATCGATACAGTTAATCTATCTATGTGCTCCACAAATGAAAAATCTGTATGTTCAGTTTTCATTCATAACAATTTAGTCAATTGCAGTGGACATTATCATTTATTAAGTGACCACTGCTTTGGCACTCACTATGATATGTTTTTACATACACTTGTCCAAATGAATTTTAATTACTCATTTGGAGTGTAATGTCAGAAATAACAAGTTTGCAATGCTAAAAATATCAATTTGAATTTCATAAAAAAGTATTCAATCAGGAGCACTGGTTTATATTTGCGCCTGTCCCAAGTCAGGAGCCTCTGGCTTTTGTTAGTCTTGTATGTTTTTTAATTTAAGGTCATTTATATGTTTTGGAGTTTAGTATGACGTCCATTTTCACTGAACTAGTACACATTTTTGTTTAGAGGCCATCTGAAGTTCGCCTACAGGTGTGGTATTTTCTTGTTGTGTTGAAGACCCATTGATGGCCTTTGGCTGTTTTTTTTACTCTTTGGTTTTGTTGTCTCTTTGACACATTCCCCATTTCCATTCTCAATTTTATTAGATCAAAAGAGCAAAATTTTGATTGATAGTTTTCCAGAAAGTGAAGAAAGTGTAACTTTGATCCATCTGAAATAACTCCATTTTCCATGGAATTAATCTCACAAACAAAAGGTTGATCAGAAAATTGCTCATCAATAGAAGTTGCCTTTTAACTAAATATTAGCCCTTTTTCTGAAAAATTTGAAATTTTTTTTCTCAAATTAAAAAAAAAAAAATGTTGTATAGTCAATTTATTATCCATAATGCTGCATTTGGGAGATATAACAAACCGATTAGTATATCTGATTCGTCTATTCGAGTCTAAGGGGAATAATTTCATTGATGTGATATGTCTGTGCAGTTTTTTGGTTTAACATTAAAAGAATTGTTTTATTTGATGGAAGAAACTACACGTCAGGAAAGTACATATCCAATTTATAAATTTTGTAATTTTGTCTAAAATTAAGATTTAAACTATATTAGGCAATGTTGAACTTAATAATTTGAGTGTAAGGTTTTGTTAAAACCGATGTTTTTTTCCAATTTTCATTTCATCTACAAACTTGAGGCAATTAGTGTTTCAGACACTTTAAATCAATCAATAAAAGTCAATTGAACACAACAATTAATTTCTGTAATGATTAAAAAATAAATCTTTTATGTTTACTACATCTATATATATATATATTTATTTAAAGAAAAGTTAATATATATATTTATATAGATGTCAAGACAATGCTGCCACATACTGCCACCAGAATTTTTAAACAGTATCGTAAAATTTCAAAAAATATAAACCATCCACCTTTGAAGCTATGGGCATGTTCATCCAGTAAGTATTTAGCTACTAAAACCAATTTTAAATCATTATTACATTGGTTGCAATGAATTACATTGATTTCCCAGTGAAATAAAAACCGATAATTTCACATGTGAAATAAACGTGGTTATTTCACTCCTCTGACGTCATACAACAATAGGCGTTGTCAAGACGTCGATAACGTCGGATCAAAACAAATTGTGAATGCGTAGAAAACGATATAGTTCCTTACATTTTCTACTTTAATTTCACTAAAAAGCCATTTGCCAATGTAATAAAAAGAATAACTAATCAAAGAATTCAAATATCGAAAAATATTCAACTCGTGACCGAACAACACTGATAATTAACTCATGCACTACGCGCATTCGTGAATTAATGTGTTGTTCGGTCACTCGTTGAATATTTTTCTCTATTTGAATTCTTCGATTAGTTATTCTATAAATATTATTCAGTGGACAGTGTTCAAGATTGAATATTTCACAAGTACTTTTTTCTAAAGGTTTTATCATATAATTTTATAATGTATACACAAATAACTTTTTTTTTCTCTACCATGTCTAATGCAGGAAAAATAATTATTTTGATAGAGCACTAACTAACATTGACAGTCATGAGGGCGAGCCTCAGTGGCCTAAGTATATCAATGAGACAAATTTCTGTCAGATACCAAATAACGTAGGAGTTGTTCATTTACGGTGATCACCTGTTGACTCTAAGGTTGAAAGTTCAAACCATACTCATAAAGAGGTGTATTTGACTCTGATCTTAATTGACAGGTTTGTTTGCCAAAGGTTAGTGTTTCTCCATTGGCACTATAGCTTCCTCTACCAATCAAACTGTCCACCATAATATATCCAAGGTCGCTAAAAGTGGAGAATAGTTAAGTGCAACCTCACAACCAATCTAATTGTAACAAAACTGATTTGTCTAAAGAAAAATGAGACAAGAAATATAGATTCCACCAACAAGTGTGTTACGATATTTCTCCACCTGAGACAGTTAAATTTCAATCTTTAAAGCGTGAGGCTTGCAGAGTTTTTAAATAATTAAAATTTAACTGTTGAGAGTGGAGAAATACATGAGTTATGGTGGTGAAATCTGTTTCTCTAATGATTTTATCCTTCCTTTTCAAAGATTTGCAGAAAATTGTTTCCTTATATGGGACGTCATCAGACATGATCGCCTTTTTTCATGATGTAACAATCGGAAAATTCAGAAGAAACCAAGAAAATTTGGCGTTATAATTAAATTTCGACAAATAATTTGCCAAGAACAGATATTTCACTAGTGAGGAGAAATATTTTCTCACACCATTCAAGAATTGTGAAAATAGCACAAAAATTAGAGAAAATAAATTCCATTTGTGTAATAAATAATGGATTAAAGTATAAAATAAAGTAAAATGTATCAACAACCAAATGCAATTAAGTAATTAGTAGCTTATTTCAAGCAAGAACTAAAATTTTTCTCCACAGCTTTTAGAGATTTTTTTAATGTTACTGACAATTTATTCTGTTCATCTTTTCCTGGTATACTTGTTTCAGCTGAATTAGCTGCAATATGCTCGAGTTGAACATTTTTGAAAGTATTCCAAGCTTTTTCAAAACTCAGACCATTTTCAATAGAATCAGTGTTGGATCTGTGCATAAAAAATGTAAATTATGAATGTAAGATTACTTTTCTTTTATTCATGAAAACATTATATTGAACAAGAAATGATTATTATACAGACAACATTAAACATGACCCCTTCAAATTATCCAGTGTAACTAGCTTTCTACCAATCTCATGCAAACAAAAACATTGTTACTCCTGGAAACATTTTACATGTAACTAGAAGAAAATATTCAATTATCAACACATTTTTTACACAATTAAATAAATCGGAAATGAATCCAAAACAGACATATAGGGACACGACTGGACATTAAGCAACCAATAATCAATCAATCAGACATGTAGGGCAGGATCATGTATTGTAGGTAACTCTTTGCACTTGTAAAACTTAATAATTACTGAAATAGGCTCTTACCAACTTATTCAATTAGATAATACTTTATTTAGTATATTGCTATCATCACTTTGTAGTATTTAAGCAGTCGCGATGGAACATTTGACATTGAAACATTAATGTTATTATTGATGCCACATGCGGCATGGATTTAGCTCATTGTTGAAGGACGTAGTGATCTATAGTTGTTAATTTTTGTGTCATTTGGTCTCTTTAGGAGAGTTGTCTCATTTGCAATCTTACCACATCTTCTGACTATTATATGTAGGGATGAAAAAAAAAAAAAATTACAATTAATGCAAGGCACCCAGAGTCATGTGACAGTACATGTATATGGAAAGGGCAGTCATTTCCAAAAAAAGGACTGGTATATTGAATATTGACTAATTAGCCAAGCTGAGGTCTATAATTGTTCTTTGTGAAATACCTAAAATGAGTATATATAATCTGCCATCTGGCCCTATAAATTATAAGAAGCTTTTATTATTTGTTACATTATAATTAACTGTTAAAAGGGAGTGTTACAAGTATATATTTTATACAACACATATTTAGAATAAAATTCCCTTGGTAATGGACAAACCCATGGAAATATAATATCTAAATATAAATCCTAAGTTATATTAAAAAACATTATTCAATAAAATGGATGTAGGGTAAAAGCAAATGACACAGCCACAAAACTTATGGCATGGAAATCTACTTACACATTTCCAAATTTACCAAAAGCTTTCCCTCTTTTTTTCTTTGATGCAAACTTCTTTGACATTTTCTCTATTTCTTATTCTTTATTTCAAAATAATTTGCTGTATAATCAGTTCATTTCAATGCTTTACAGATCTTCTTTCACATCCTGAAAGTATACAAAAAAATCAATGCAAGACTTTAAAAGCAGTTAACTAGCTAAAACAAGAATATGTGTCAATTTAAGAACTCATTCTTCATAAAGACTGTAATTCATTAGAACTAGCTGAAAGAAGACAATGTATGCGCTAAGTCAGTCAAGAGTTTCAAAACATTGATCTCCAACACTGTCAATAGATGCTTTCTCTAGATCTCCCGTTGAATAAAAGCCAGAATTGGTATCTTCAATGTAAAAATACAGATACAGATGGAACTCATTCCTCTATCACATTTATATATGTTCATTAAACTGCAAATTTTAGATAAAACATTAATTTGACATACATTTTAAATAAATATGTTTCAAGATGATGTGTTCACAACTTCATGATAAATTACCTTAAACCAAAACTTTAACTTAATATGGGATGGAAGTAAAAGAAATATAAATAAAAACTGCTAAACTGAGCGCAGCTAGATACACCCACAGAGGTCCAACCCTGAACAGTTGGGGCAAAAATGGACACAATATTCAAGCTTGATTCAGGTCAGAATTTGGATTGTAATTAAATATTTGACACATACAGGTTTCTGAATAAATGTAGTCAAAGAACTTGAAATTGGTTATATGAATTGAATTTATATTCAATTAAAGATTTCTTGCTGTTGTGCAATACTTAGTAAATCTGTTGTCAGACTATAAACAAATAAAGTTCAATTAATTCTCAATGTCATATTAGAAATTTATGAAAATAAAAAGGGAGCTTACATCAATAGATATAAATATTTCACCAAAGTTTCATGAGAATTGGTGACAGCGTTTTTGAGTTATTGTCCGAAAAACTGGAAAATCACCCCTTTTTTTAATGAATAAAACCACATAACTCAGAAATGTAAAATGTAAAATTTATAAAATTCTAAAGGGAGCTTACATCAATACATACAAACAATTCACCAAAGTTTCATAAGAATTGCTTAAAGCATTTTTGAGTTTTTGTCCGAAAACTAGAAAATCCCCCCTTTTTTTTATGAATAAAACCCTGTAACTCGGAAACATAAAATCTGAAATTTATAAAAATTGAAAGATAGCTCATGTCAATAGATATAAACAATTCAACACAATTTCTTGCAAGTTGCTGAAAGGATTCTTGACTTATTGTCCGAAAACTGGAAAATCCCCATTTTTTTAATGAATAAAACCCCATAACTCGGAAACGTAAAATCTAAATTTTATAAAAAAATGAAAGGGAGCTCACGTCAATAGATATAAACAATTCACCAAAGTTTTATGCAAATTGGTTAAAGCATTTTTTAGTTAATGTCCGACATGTTGACGACGGACAGACGGACAACAGTATACCATAATACGTCCCGTAAACGGGCATATAAAAAAGCATCAACACATTGTTTAAAACAGAGATGGCCCATATTTCTAATTTCAGTTTGTTTTCTTTAAACTATTGTATATATCCAGTATATTATAGATGTCAGAATGTTAATATAATTCTTATATTTCTGTATTTTGTAAAGATATTTAACACTAGCTTAAGAAATAATTTACTTGATAAATTATTATTATCGGTCGTCCCACTGTCTATATCACTCTGCTCAGCTCTTAATAAAACTGCATATCAAGGCTTTATGACGTCAAATACGTTGACCTGGCCTTAATAAATTTGACCCGAACTTATCAGCGACGTCATAATGTATGAACCGACGTTGATAAGTTTGACCCTAACATATCAATTCATCTTCCGGTTTGCTGGTAAAACCAAGAAAACATTTGTTTCTCTCATGCAAAGTACGCAAATACAAACCAATAAATCTATAATCTGGTTGTCTGCATATCTATATGGTAAAATATCAGCTGCCTTACAAAATATGAAGCCTTTTTTGAACTTGTTCGCTTCGCTTACTCAACAAAAATATTCATACTGTGACTCACAGCTGATATTTTACATCATCAATATGCAGACAACCTGATGTAAAATATCAGCTGCCTTACAAAATATGAAGCCTTTTTTGAACTTGTTCGCTTCGCTTACTCAACAAAAATATTCATACTGTGACTCACAGCTGATATTTTACATCATCAATATGCAGACAACCTGATGTATGACCTGTACATATAGATCTTTACAATATTAGATAGGCTTAAACTTATGTATTATATAATTCCATGAGGGTAAAACGACATCTAGAATTAAGGATTTGGGAAGTGTAAGTTACATTTGTAGTAGAACAAAGGGATTTCTTACTTATCATACTTATAGGATTTAATTTCAATTATGTCAAAAAGACTTGATAATTATGAAAATAGATAAATTAGTATTATTATGTAAAGTAAAGATATTGAGTATATGAAGTACTGGCCTCAGATATAGACTTATTTCACAAAAGTAGACTTAGGCAAAAAAGTCTATTGTCAAATCTGAAGGTTTTCAATGATTTAAAGAATTTGTTTTTATAGCACATCTTTGGTCTTAAGTCTCTGTTTAATTCTTTAATAACTATTTATAGATGAATACACATCGCATCTTCTTTTATTCATATAAAGTAGTGAGCAAGCCAGAGATTACCAAATTGAAAGGAATAAATTCTGAATAATCAACATTAATTTGCCCGAAAACACGTATATCTCTTTGAAGCATTTAAAAAAATTTAACTGCAAATTAAGAGCAATGTAAAAAGCAGTAAATTCAACAGAGTTTATAATAGCCATTAATATTGGTTACATATCTAGTAAAAAAATATCATGAATATTGCAGCTGCCTGCAAATGTTGTCATGATTCACGAACAGAAGTGTCAATAAAAACTTTCACCTTTATTTCCTAACAAGTGTAATTGATCGTGAAGGAAGGGAAATAACTCTGATGACAAAGTTTAAATGTATTTTGTATTGTATCAATATCATCAGTGTTACACAAAAATGAAAACCTTTTATCTGCAATTCTGTCATCTTTACCATGTTTACATGGGACACAAAAGCTGACATTAACAACTGACTCAATGAGTTGTTTAAGCCTGCAATTTTACATATGACAGCACCAGTTAAAGTAGTATAACCCACATTCATGTCACCTAGCTACATTGGTTGTGAATAGAGTTTAAATATTTTTTTTTAATTAATAAAAAGTTGCAATATCTATGACTTAAGATACGAATTTGTAGATATAAAGCATTTTGCAAGCATGTTCAAGGTGCAGATCCAGGATTTTGAAAGGGGGGCCTGACAAGCCAATGTTTTGAGTGAAACTTGTAAAATGTCTATGAATTTATCATATATGAAACGCGAGTTTAATTATTGCGATTTCAGGAAAAAGTGCAAACAGTTGTATGTATCAGATATAAGAATGCGAATTCTTATTGCGATACTCATTCAGTCGCATTATTCGCATTAATAAAAACCTCGCAATAATTTCTGAATTTACAGTATTTGGCATTGGTTTTATGCCTCTGTAACTACCTCAATGGTATTGAGTTAGCATGCTCCTCTCATGTGGAGAATTGGTTGATTGATGGTGATCAACCCTAATTTCAGCACTCTTGGTTACATCGTGGGGACCAGTTTTTATTGATGTCAGATGCTTGGGTGCCGAAAGAAAACCTAATGTGTAGGAGATTGTGAGTTTGATCTCTAGCCAAATCAAACCAAAGACTTTAAACATGGTATTTATTAAATGCACACTTGGCTCCACTAACTTGCACTAAGCTGTTGGTATTTAGGAGTAAGAGCAATGACAACTGGGGTAACTTTTCTTTTCCTTTTCATAACTTTTATTGATGGGGATGTTCAGTTAGATCCTTTTTATGTAGCGTACATTTTCCAGCTGCTTTCATATGTATGAATTTGCAGAGATTTCTAAGTTTTCAAAAAATAAGTAATATTGTAATATTTCATGACTGAAATCATTTTTTTACTAACTTTTATTGCTAAATATAGAAATTTATTTTGGAAGTTTAAACCACTTTTATGACAGTTGTTTTCCATTCCGTTCCGTTGTTTGATAAAGTCTCAGGTATGATTTTGTCAGTTTCAATGGACCATTTTTTAATTTACCTTGGAGTTCAGTAATTTTGTTATACTTTTTGGCTTACATGCACATCATTTGGACTCTTGTAAATAGTTGTCTAATTGGCAATTATACCTCATGAGCATCTCCCTATTTTTATATTATAAATCACTCCTTGCAATATATACAGTCTGCCAAAAGTTAAGCATCACCTAAATATAACTGGCAATATTATTTTAACTATAGAGAAAAAAATATTTATGTTTGGTGTTATGAATTGCCTATAACATACACCAAGAAAATTCATTACGACCAAAAAATTAAATTCCGATCAACACGCCAAGCAATTTTTTATTAAAGGTCAACTGCACTTTTTCGAATACACTGTTTGGATGCCTTTAAATCATCTTCCTACTGCCCCGCGTACAGGTGAAATTTGACCTTCACCAAGTCACTGTAAAATATGGCAAGGGGTAAGTTATATGTGACTGAACCTTGACAAGCAATTGACATGTCAAATGCCGGAAGGAGCACTAGTTGCATAGGTAACCATTTCAATGTTAAACACACCGTCATTGTCAGACTCCTTATTGGTTGGGCTAAAGCCAACCCATTTACTCCTGCCCCACAACTTAGACATCACTGGTGTCAAGGTGGTCATGTTAGTGTTCGAACATTGGTCCGTCGACTTCCTAGAGGCTACCTAAGAGCATGTCATGTTGTCAAGAGACCTGCCCTAACAGCCAGGCACCGTATAATCAGGTTTCAAAGGGCTAATGACCATCGATGCTGGAACATGAGAAGCTGGCAAAATGTTCATTGGTCAAATGAGAGTCAGTTTCTCTTACGATCAATAGACGGCAGAATAGGAGTTTGCCGTGGAAATAAAACTGCTAATGACCAAAAACAACATTTGCCCAACGACTGCATACGTTGCTGGTGGTGTTACAGTATGGGGTTTCTTCTCATGCTGTTGTAAGGTGGGTATGCATATTCTGCAGGGTAACATGAACGGACAGACATACAGGGATTTGGTGCTTAGAAACATTGTAGTCCCTCATTTTGATAATCCTCCACTTACTTCAAGACCCTTGTGCATGTACGACAATGCTAGACCACACAGTACAAGGATTGTAACCGAGTACAAAGAGTACAAAGAGCAAGAAGCCATTGACACTATCTTTTGGCCTTCCATGTCTCCAGACATGAAGCCTATCGAACATGTCTGGGATGCCATTGGCAGAAATCTCAATCGCAGAGATCCACCGTTGCAAAATCTTAGCGATTTAAGAAGCGCAATTGTTGCTGAATGGAATAAATTTGCTCAACTAAAGTTCAGAAGGCTTGTACAGAGTATGAGACTCCGTGATATGGAACTGTACCGGAAGAGAGGGTGTTACACATCCTATTGACTCAAATATTGACATTGAATTTGCAGAACATACCAAAGATTATTTGTAGAGACTTTTAATGATATTGGGTGATTAATTGTTGTAAAAAAATAAAATCACAGTGAAACTTAAAATCCGTTTCTGATTTGTGTAATTTTCAGTATTTTTATGAATTCAAATTTCAAATGCATAGAACCTGCATACGTGAACAAACTTAAGTCTACGGTTTGTTTATGGTAAATGTTAGCAAAATTGCTACATCAATATTTTCTCTTTTTCGAGAATTAACTGATTTTTTTAAATGAAAACAATTTGATGCAATAAAAATAGGTAGTGCTAAACTTTTGGCGGACTGTATATAACAGAAAAAAAATAACATTTAAAGGTTGAATTTTTAAAGATTAAACTATCAAAAAATTAAGTGTCCTTAAGTGTATTTACAAAAAAAAAAAATCATTTAAAATCAAGGGCAGATAACTATATTGAATCTGATAGGACAATTTGTGTTTTTTTAAATAAAGAAAATAAGCCTGTGACACACAGGCACTTGTCTCAGAGGTGTTATTTTTAAGTATATAGGTCGAAAAAAATCAGAGACAAGTGCCTGTGCTGGGACCCCCTACTTTTATTTGAAATTTTGGAAGTATATTTATGACATGTAATTTTCTTATTGAATTTTAACCAATTCTATCGTCTAATGCTAAGTCCAGATTAAGGAAAAATTAAGTTTCAGCTTTATAACCCATGTAAAATAACTGTTAATTTCAATGCATTTTACAAACATAAATAAGTGTAGTGGATATAACTGTATGCAATAAATGTTCACAAATGCAAATGCAAATGCAAAAAAAAAAAAAAAACCCAAAAAAAGTTAATTATATCTTGAAATGTTAAACATATAGTATTTTTTTTTATGCTGGCTGATTAATTGATCTGTCCCTATAGTTTGTTTTTTTTCTTTTTCTTTTGCATTTTTACATTGGGTTTTTTCTGTAAAGTTTTAGACATCACTTTCATCATGTTCACATTTTTAATTTTAACACAAAAACTTAAATTTCATTTGAAAAATGTCAATTTTAAAGTGTCAACGTATATTTGTAGAAGTTCACTGGAAACTTAGTTATAAACAATGTCATAATATCTATTCCTGTTGGAACAAATATTCTATATCATGTATTTCGTTAGGAGGATAAGTTCTATAGGCTTATTGAGTTAATAATGTCTGATCTGAGATTAGTATAACACATAGTATAATAGTCTCAGCTCTGATCGTGCTGCTCAGTTCAACAGACAATTTGTCCACTTTGCAAGGATGGAATTGAAGATGAATTCCATTTCCTCATTAAATGTACAGAGTTAGAATTTAATAGAAATATACTCTTTTGTAATTCAAGTGATAATATTAGTTCCATCTTTTGTTAATATGTCTGAACAAGATAAATTTAGTTTCATTTTGAAAAGTAATGATACTGACATTTGTACTGTATGTGTAGCTGAAATAAGCGATATGTACAATGTATGATTTGAACATTCATTTTAAGCAAACATATAATGTTGTTAAGAACTGTTGTAGTATTAAAGCTTATTGTAATAGCTTGCATTAATAATATAGTATGAATAACACCTCCACGCAATGTAGATATAAAAATTTTAAAATACATGTATGTGTCTCTTATCATTGTGACATTGAGAAAATATGTCAATGTAGATATAAAAATTTTAAAATATGTGCATGTCTCTTATCATTGTAACATTGAGAAAATATGTCTCTGTATTTATTTATTTTTGTCTATTTTTGTATTTGTATTTTGTAAATGTCAGCTGGTATCATTCCTGTATTGGAATTTACACCAATAAAATTATTTGATTTGATTTGTAGCTCGGAAATTACATAAGTTTGCACATGTACAAATGTGAATAGGAAGGAAAATGCATTTCGTGTTTACATGTGCAATAGATGACAGTGGTTTAAAAAGCTTGTATAGATGTTAAATATCACACAAACCAAGTAATTTTGGCATTTTTTGTAAATTAAAGATTACCTATTTAACATATTATTCGATTGTTGTTTTTATTCGTTTGGGTTGTTGGTAAGATAAACTACAATAAGCTCCGGAACAAAAACGGTAATATTTCCGGTATAGCTGTGTATTCGAAAATTTAAGCGATTTTTAGATCAAAAGAAACTTACTAATTTTACCCCTTTGAGCGTCATTTAGATTACGACTTTCTTTTGACCCCACAAAAAATCAAATCGCAAAAAAAATACGCCTAACCTTGATTCCACGAAGGCCACTCTACACCACCTTTTCCGGCTATGTTTTTTTATACCATGGATTTGTATAGTAAGAAAAATTCAAGTGAAATCAGTGGCACATCCAGAAATTGTCAGAAGGTCTCAGAAGCTAGGGGGCCCACTGACTGCCTAAGAAGGGACCCGCTCCAGTCATTCTTCAGTGATTCCCTATATAAACCACGATATAATCAACCAAATTTTACCACAAAAGAGGGGACGGGAACTGCTCTGCCCCCCCTAAATCCGCCTCTGGAAATCTCGTGGACTTTTGCATAGACTTATAATGTGTTATGCGGCGCGATATTTTGTGTGATTACCCATGGTGCATTTCGAAGATGCTTGTTTATACTGCCAATATATATATAGTATATATGTCTCTGGTTTTGTGCTTCCACTGACAACAGAGTCTTAATGGAAAGTTAATGAATAATCGTATAGTGGAATTTCATTAAGGAGTCTTAGCCACCGACCATTCTTATTTTTTCTTTTTCTTTTTTTAGGGGGAGAGGGGAGAGATGTGTCTATTCAGTATATATTTTTTTTATTCTGAATGTCTTGAAACAAATAGATCTATATTGGAACTAAATCATATTGTTTAAGAGAAGAGAAAAAGAATTTAGTTTTCCATTGAAAAGGTGAATAAGGGGTGAATAATTTCAACACTGACTTTCAAAAAAAAATTCTTGTTTCTGTATGTTGTTGCATTTTTTCAATCAAATATCCATCATTTGATCAAATTTTGTTCTATAGGTTTAATATTAGGTAGGTGCTCCGGAAGGTTGTTGGTTTTCAACCAGTGGCCATTCGAACGGTGCATGTCGGCAATCAGCAGAGTTCTCGAAATATTTTTTTCCTTTGTGGTCCTTGAAGAAAATCTGCTGGTCCTCATTATAATCATTCTACTGCAAAATATTGAAATTGCAAAATTATGGTGGTCAAAACCTTCGGACTCAGCCGCCACCACTTTTTGTGAACTCTGAATCAGATATACAAATTTGCGGATAAATTGTAAAATCTTTGGCCATGTTGTTGAAGGATAATCTAGAGTCATAGTATAGTATATGAAGAGCCAATCTGGGAGTATAACATTAATATTGAAATATGATATTTTTAATGTGTGACCTGTTTAACGATAAACTGATGTTAGACTTTTTTTCAATTCATAATGCTCGTAAGAATTGAATATTACACTTTATAGATTTGAAGTGTCATAAGCCTTCTTCACCCAGAATAAAAAATGAAATTTAAGGATGTATGGGTACTTGAAGAATACTCAAGCCGGGATTCGTATGATAAGAAAGGTACAAACAATATGATCAACTTGGTCTGAGGTAGTTTCGAGTTTAGTTCACTTTTTGTGAACTCTGAATCAGATATACAAATTTGCGGATAAATTGTAAAATCTTTGGCCATGTTGTTGAAGGATATTCTATAGTCATAGTATATGGATAGGTGTGCCTAAGGGAGCAGGAACCGCCAAATTTCCGTTCTGTATCATCTGAGTTCACCCATTTTTTTGTTGGGGTTATTGTTAATCAATATTCAATTTTGTAGACTATTGTTTGTCTTTCATCGTTTTTTGTTTTGCCACGGTGCTTTCATTTTTAAAAGTCAAATTCGACTTGTTTTTTATTGTTCCTTTGTATCCTCATTATAGATTTTTTTTGCAGTACACTGTTCGAATCGTTTGCACCGTGTAGAACGCCACATGCGGGGTGTCGGCTATGTTTAACAAGGGATGGCGGTTTTGAAGCGGTGAAAAACGAGCAAGGTTACTTCAAGTATCAAATTTCTTTTTTGAGAATTGTTAGTACCAAATAATGTATTGCACGGAAGGAACCGAACCATAATCTATTTCCATTCTTTCCAGGAGTAGACGTTTTCAGTGCTCTGTTTTCTCCAACACATCTCCCTAGTTTTCCGTGTTGCAGATGTTGAGGCTTCATATGCAAGTTTCAGGATAAAAAACTACTTTTACAATTTTTTCCCGTATAATTTATATAGAAATGAATTCCAATCATGGAATTTAACCAAATGCCAGCTTCTTAGTTACAATTTATTGGTTTTCACACTAACTTTTCATTAAAAAGATTATGTGTCGCTTGGGGTGTCAGATTTTGAGTCTCAAGGAGTAGATGCATTTATTTAAAAAAATAATAGATTTGCATATAATTCGGCCTTTATCTAATACATTGTAATTCGAACACACTTTCTCTATTATGATGACAAATTACAAACTTATGGTATTTCATTTGGCCCATATTTTAGTCTTTTAAGTAATGTGCATTTTTAATGTTTTGTTATTTTTCCGTCGTTGGCATCCTTCCCATCGTCTGTCCGTCAGTTATCAAAAATTTTCAAAACTGAAAAATCAGTCTCTGAAACTACTAGACACAATTTTATATACCAAACTTGACCTAACAGTTAGGGAATCAATAGTTTGAAATTTGTATGCGGGGTTTTGATCCTTTACACATGGCTGGATTTGCTAAAACATACTTGTGGGTTTATCTTAAAGTTAAGCAATTAGAGCAAACTTGACTTTGATAAAAGACCAACATGTTTTGTTTACAGACAGAAACGGAAACATAAAATAGCAAAATTATTCAACACAATAAGATCTACAAATTAATAAAAAGGCTAGAATTTTTAACTTTTCCATGTAAGAGTTATTGCCCCTGAATGACGATTTTTATGATTTTTGGCATTTTTATTGAAAATTATAGTAAGGTGAGAGAAACTCTAAATGACAGAAAGGATCAGTTACTAAGTTAAGAAGTAAGTCATTATGGCGAAAATCGTAAGTCGATTCCTTATAGGAGTAATTGCCCTTGAAAGACATTTTTTATCCCTTCTTTGCTTTGTTTTTTGCTATAATCTTGAACACTATAAGTTATAGTTACTGAAAAGCGAATATGATCAAAGAGACAAGATCTGCAAATAAGATAAAGTGGCCTAAACAATCAGTGTACTCCTCTCATTGTCCTGAATTGGCAACCTTTTGCTCATTGTGTTCAGGTTTTATTTTTGGAAGAGGGCTATAGTAAAAGATAAAAACTGTAAAAAGACAATGATAATCAGCAAAATTTAACCTTATCAATAATATATATAATTTCTGAATTTACAGTAATTACTTCTGTTTTCCATTTTGCAGATACTTGGAGAGACTCATAATTTCTTTGTTTTTTATACTGGATTGTATATTAATTCAACTACTCCGATTCCTATTTTTTACATAATTTTCACATCTTTCAATATTGATACGTTTGTGATAATTGTGTCATTTATGCCCTGCTTGTATTTATTCATATACATTCAGATATTGTGGTCTTTGTCTAATTATTATAAAATCAAGGAGATGTAGTATGATTGCCAATGAGACAAATGTCCACCAGCTTTCAAATGAAGTGGGTGTCAGCCACTGTACAGCCTCCAACAATGAGAAAAAACCCACACTGTATAGTAGGCTATAAAAGGCCCTGTCATGAAGAATGTGAAACAATTCAAACAAGACAACGAAATAGCAGCCTATTTACTAGTATTAAGTTTCATGTTTATGTTGAGCATGTTGGGGACAACCTGCCAGATGGGGTATGGTCCAGCTCCTCCTAAAAATAAAGATGAGCAAACAAAGACAACTAACACTACATGGTCAAGATCCCTGCTTGACTGTATAGGAACACAATGTGGTTGGCTTAAATAAGATTTATATGCATACATTAAACCCACCGTTCATGTCTATCAAGAAGGTGTAATTGCAATGACTGGACACAACTTGAAAAATTAATCCAAACGATTAGGAAATAGGCAGCCTCTCCGTTTATTTCAATATCATGATTTCAATTGAGCTTTTTTAATGATTTAATTATAATTTTGGTTATAATTTTATGTTTACCGACCAGATTTATTAAAGTTCAAGCGATTTTACCTATGTAATTTTTTAAATTTTTTCTATCCATTAATTTTCACATGGTTATAACAAGATTTTGTTATCTTTGCAGAAAGCATATAATGGTTGCTCAAGTTAAGTGCACAGAAGACAAAGTAAAACACTTAAAAATGAAATATAACGGCAGATTTCGGACTTGTATGGAGAAGCAGTTTGGAAATTTTAGTCTGTTCTGAGACGTGCTAATACTGCTGAAAAATCCAAAACATATACAAGTTGGAGACTATACAATAGAAATGTATTTACTCCTAACACAATACAAGATATATCTTACTCTAGTAATATCATTTCCATGATACTTTTTTGTTTTTTCAAATTTCAAAACTTGAAAATATATGCTTGAAATAAAAGAAGTATTTTGATAAGGATTTTTTGTCCATATATATGAAAATGGCTGAAACCAGATGTTTCCATTACCTGTTATGAGTAAAATACTGGCTAACAACTTATAGATTAATCATTTATTGATTGTTGTTTGCTTTACGTACAGTAGCAAATATTTCATGCAAATTCAGGACGATCCGCCAACTTAGTGGCCAGTTTTATTAACCGGATTTTCGAAGGAAAAATCGGTTTTTGATTTGGGGATGTACGGCGGGTGGGCGGGCGAAATGAATGTCAAGTTCAATTTTCACGATTTTAGCTGTTTTCGTTGTTGATTTGTAGACCTTTTAGTAGCAAAGTGATTCTTATTAAATTATATTGAGTTATTTGCCTTTGAACAGAAATGGTATAATTAATAAGTAATTTCTATGTCATTTGGTTTCTTGTTTATGTAGAGTTATTTCCCTTTAAACAGAAATGGTGTAATTAATAAGTAATTTCTATGTCATTTGGTTTCTTGTTTATGTAGAGTTATTTCCCTTT